CTCACCAAGCTCTCCCTGCACTTGTTTCTATCCATTCCACTGCATGACCCTTCCTACCCCAGGATATTTACACATGCTGTTCTTGTGTTTCTCTGACTTCCCAGCTAATTCTTTGGATTCACTCTTGATTCCCTTTTCCTCCAGGAAGGTCATCATGTCTCATCACTAGCTGCCCAAAAAGTGCAGCCTGGAGATCTGATTCAGTGAAAGAGGCCATGAGGGACCACAGCAGGGTGAGAACCCACTCTTCCACAAGGAGAAGCTGTCCTGTCCTTGTAGCACACCTGCCTGTCTCTTCCATCCGAAGAGGACCCTTGTTATTAATCTGAGGGTGAGCAGGATCAGATGCAGGCTGTGGACTGGAGGAGCTAGTTCCCCACGGCCACTTCTCCCTCTGCCAATGTCACCTGTGAACCAAAGGGCTTAATGTTCTCAGGCTCCCTGCTGTTCTGGGGTAGGGGGAGGCTCCCTCACAGGTGCGGCCAGTGCCACCCTCTGGCCATGCCTTTCTCCCCTGCACTCCTGCTACCCCGTTCAGACCCTCACCCCCTCACATCTTCCTACTGCCGTTCCAGGCTCAGACTCTTCCCAACATCAGACTCCTCTGCTGACTTTCCAGATTCCTTTGCACGCAGATTTACAGGGAGTCTCTGCTTCCTTCTGCGCCAAGCTCAGAGGCCCCATCCGGGCTGCCAACTCCCGGCCGTTCAGCTTTGTCCCTCACCTGGCAAGGTGGGCTTGACATTCCCAGGGCAGATGTTACCCTGCCCCAGCCACCCCAACACCACCCAGTGCTGGTCCTCCTCCTCCTTAAACCGCAGGACTAAGTTTGGTCTTTTCTATGAAACTGTTCCCAGCATCTCCAGCTGGGCCCCCCAGGGTCACCTCTGGAGACTGCAGAGCTAACAGTGCCTCGCGTGGCTGAGGACTGGTCTGCGTTCTCCGGGTTTCAGCCTTGTCTCCTCTTCCAGGCATGTAGTTGACATCTAAATAAATATTTGGTTGAAATGTTGATTGTGGAAAACAAAAGATGAGACCATTAAAGGAAGATCAACCAGGCAACGCTGACATGTGTGGGCATGTGTATGTGTGTGCGCTCATATGTGTGTGTGCGTGTGCACACGTGTGTTGCATGTGTGCCCATGCGTACATGTGTGCATATGTTTTCATGCCAAGAGCTCTCTCCCTTTCCCAGGGAACATTCCCAGATGTGCTTTCATTTCCCCAGTCACCTGTGCCACCCGAACGGTGGGTGTTCTGCCTGCTCCCAGCCTCTGACAACGGGCACGGGGCCCAGGCAGGCCTGCAGGAGACCTGGATTCTGATCTCAGGCACACAGTGCTTTCTCCTCTGGCACCCAGAACCTTCTGAACCTATTTCTGGTTCCTCCAAAGAGAGCTCGTTCCTGGCTCTGTGACTCACCAAGGCCAGCAGCGTGCAGGGAAAGAGACACAGGAGAGAGGATTCTGGTGGGCTGGTGATAACAGGTGCTTCCTGGCCCAACTCAGCTGTTGTCAGAGCGTCTCAGAGAGAGCAGAACTGACCAGTTCACATGCTTGGACAGAGAAAATGCTATGAACATAGGCTGGGGCTGGTTTCAGATCCTCAGTGCCTAGTGCACCATCAGCACATGATAAATACTTTAAGGAATTAGTGTATAGACACGTGTGCCAAGGAAGACTTCAGACAGGCAGAATTAGCCCTTGTGGAGAGAGACTTTCGAACATGTGAGTTACTGTGGGCCTCACTCGGCTGCCTCCAGCTGCGATAACAGAGCATGCAAACAGGAAGAGCTGAGGCTACTCAGGGATGCTCTATCCAGAGCATCTGGGAAGTTAAACGAGAATATGCCGTTAGTTTGCAATCAATACAAGGAAGAGCCAGCACTTACTGCACATACAACAATTACTAGCAAGTCATATCTTATTTAATTATAATGAGTCTCGAAGGTCTTTCCACCTCTGAGGGCTGATCAGATCCAAATAAACATTTACAGAGCCCAGCAAGCTAAGAGGACTGGGAGAAGCCGAAGAGAGAAGGAGATACGGGCGAAGTCCCTGCCCTTAAAGAACTCTTGATGCAAGGACAGAAATTGAAGTAGAAGCAAAGCAGATTTCAAGGCAGAAAAAGATTAATAACGAAGGAGATTCAGCCTGGCGTGGTGGCACACACCTGTAATCCCAGCACTTTGGGAGGCTGAGGCAGGAGGTTCACAAGTTGGATCTTCTTACTAAACCAGCATGGGCAACTTGGCCAGAGCCCGTCTCCGAGTGAAAAGGGCTGAGTGTGTTGCTCTGGGCTCACCCAGTACCACAAAAGGAAAAATAAAGACTAAGGAGGTTCTCACACACACACACACACACACACACACACACACACACACACACAAGGAGTTGTAGATAAAAAGGTTTGGGGATGATCCCAAATGACATTTCTTCCTGGATGAGGTGGCATTTCATCTGATTTTTTTTTAATCTATGGCCTCAGGCAGAGATGGGAAAGGGCACTTTGCACTGGACAGACAGGTTCAGGCACTTTGTAACAAAGGGCACGTTAGAAGCCAGTCTCACTTGGTTCACAGCAGAGTGTCCAGTGGGCTGCACTGGGGTAATTTTGTTCCAGGATATGTTTTCAGTGACTGGCACAGGCATTTGGATTTTGTCCTGTATGCAGTGTTGGAAGTAAAAGCAATGTTTTATTGAGATAATTCTAACAAGAGTAGAAGCTGGTCTGGAAAGTGTCTTGGTCTGTTTGAGCTGCTATAACAACACACCTTAGATGAGGTTGTTTATAAACAACAGAAATACATCGCTCATGGTTTGAGAGGGTGGAAGTGCAAGGTCAAGCACTGGCCTGCTTCAAGCACTGGCCTATTTGGTGCCTGGTGAGAGCTCACCTCCGGCTTCATCACACTCTTCCTCTCTATCCTCACGTGGTGGGAGGGGGAAGGCAGCTCTCAGGGTCTCTTCTATGGGAACACAAATGTCATTCATGAGGGGTCCACTCTCCTAATTTCATTGCCCTCAAACACCACACTTCCAGATACTATCACACTGGCAATTACATCTCAGTGTAAGAGTTTGGGCAGTGGCCTTGTGGCAGTCAGCTTTCTCACTGTGACTGGATACAGTGCCTGACACCCACAATCTAAAGGAGGAGAGCTTTAATTTGGCTCATGGTTTCAGGGGATTCAGTCCATGGTCATTGGCTCCAAGGCAGAAACATTCATGGCAGAAGGGCGGGTGGAGCAAAGCTGCTTAGTTCACAGCAACCAGAAAGTGCCAGAGTAGACGGGCCAGTCCCAAACTCACCCTCCATGACGCCCAGACACACTTGGAAGTAAGCTCCCCCAACCGCAGGGTGGACCCCAAAGGCAATCAGGTTGATGCTCCACCCTAGTAACTGCCACAGATACAAATATTCAAACCATAGCAGAGAGGATGACCACAGCTAGCATTCACTGAGTGCCTACCATGTGCCAGTGTCTGCTCTCAGCAACTTGCGTTGTGTCTCACTTACCCAACAAATGTAGGAAAAAATTCAGCAATGAGCCTATTCTGCATACAGGAAACCTGAGGAAGGTTAATTAAGTCACTTACCTGGATGGCTATATACCCAGTCAATGAACAATTTAAGAGTCCAACCTCAAAGTCTTCTCCAGAGCCTCTTCTAACTGTCCAGCTGCCAGACCTCCTCCAGAGCCGAAGGAGAACTTGTCACACTGTATCAGTGCCCAGGAGAGACCACAAGGGCCTGGAGCAAGGCTGCAGAGATGAAACTGTGCGAGACAGCATCTCTTTTCTGCCTTCATGTAAGAAAGGGAGCAATGCAAATATTCTTAGTGTTTTCACCTGCATAAAGGAATACCAGAGAGATGCAGGAGAGATTAGTAAAATCGGCCTCCCATAGAGGACAAAGTCAGGGGCAAGGGACAGATGGGGAGTGGAATGGGGCGATACACCTCAGTATACATTTTCTAATGGGGCCCTTATGCTGACCCATATGAATGGTTATTTATTCAGAAAGCATAAGATGATATAAAATAAAAGCACAATTTAAAATCAAATTTAAAGGGATGATGGAAGTGCACCAAAGCCACTTGGATTTGGAAGACAATGAAGGAGACAGCACAAAGAAGATGTTGGCTGTCTGATCTGAGCTCTCAGGGGAAACAGTTAACCCAGCTGCGAGAGCCCCAGCAGCACAGTGGGTTTCAAGTTGGCTGCAACATGTGCAGGCTTGTTTGCAGATGAAAGTGGGCTCTGGATATTGGGTGTCATCTTGAGAGAAGCCGAGATGGAGCCCACATGGCCCTGGGCAGGGCGAGGGCGAGGGAACAGAGCAGAGTTTCGAGGGGAGGGGTGGCCTAGAGTCTGGTGGGTTGGGACTAAGAACAGGATGGTAGGGCTGAGGATCAGAACTCTGTGCCTCTGGAGGAGAGGCGCCCATCAGAGGTACTGAGCTGACCCCAGCCTTGGGTTCCTCTGTCCACCCCCCAAGAGATGGGACGTGTGGACACTGAGGGTCCTTGGTCTCCACCCACCAGCTACTGTAGCATCCCGTCAGAGTGGGGATGTTTAGACCACAGACTTCTGCAACTGAGTGGCTCAGAGGAGGGGCAGCTGAGGCCGCCCTCCAGGAGTTTCTCCAACTTTCTGTTATCGCCCCACTCAATCCAGTGGAAACCTATACTTTGTTTTTTGTTTTCACTTTTCCTCTTTCCATCCCACACATCAAAGGAAACACAATTACATACAATGTGCACACGGCCACACATGCACAAACGGATGCACACATCCCTCAGGTATCAAAGGGCCCCTCTGGAGCAAGCGTTTTTCTGATTCTGCTCATTGGGAGGGAAAGAAAGCAGTGCAGAGGAAAGGAAGGAGCCATGCAAGCCACCCTAGCTACTCTTACTCCCCTTTAAGGCTGCCTGGTTACGGTCCTGAGGAAGAAAACCCCTGCATTCCTCCCCTTTAACTGGGCGTATTGTTAACGCATTGGAGCAGCTAATCCTCACAGACCTGTAGGAGCAGGAGAGGGAGCACCTGGAGCTTGCTTCTTGGATTCTTGATTCTTCCGGATCCCTGGGTAAGGCAAATTCACTTCTCTTCTCCGAGGCGGGTTTTCCTTCCCTAGTGAGAGGCACTCCTGTCAGAGAGTAGGTTTGAAGAAGCACTTTCCCGAGCTGCCGACTGTCTTGGTCTCAAGGGTAAGTTGTAGCTGAAAGGGGTCTGGCATGGCCTCCCTCGGCAATGTCTGACAGCGAGCAGCTGTCCGTCTGTGCCTGTGCAGGGGAGGGGCCGAGCGTCCTGGGTGGGTGTCTGCAGCTCCCTCGCCTTCCTCTCCTGCTTGCCCTTTTCCTCCCAGCCGCCTGACCCCATCTGTCAGGCAGGGAGATGCCCTCTCTGCCCAAAGTCTGGGGCACTGGGAAGGCTGGCAGCAGCAGCGGGCAAAAGGAGATTTGTAAACAGCCCATGGCTCTGCACGACCCTGACGCTCTTGCCACAGGGTTCCTGTCCCTGGCTACCCATGGAGATGCACAGCACGCGACTGCTGTCAGCCAAAATATAGCGCCTTCCCATCCCCAGGGAGCATCTCCCTCCCTGGAGTCTTTAAACTTCCCCAGCTAGTTCTCTGGTAAAGATGCCACAAGGAGGTCTGAGTTCACCAGCACCACCGCTGTCTGCACTGTGGCCCCTTCTCTCCAAGTAACTTTCACACACACACACACACACACACACACACACACACACACACCAACAACAACTCCCAGGCTCCTGGAGGTGGCTGCCCGCCGGAGCTGTCTGGCTGCAGTGTGTGCCCAGCTGGCCTCTGGCTCAGGAACCAGATAGCCTGGTGGTAAGGAAAATCTCTGGGAAGACTGAGGAGAGTGGTGCAGGTTCAGGGTGGGCAAGGTCAGGTGCCAGAGACAGAACGAGACCCCTGGCATTCCACTGCCCGAACTTCACCAAGGCCGGCAATGAGACCCATATTGGAAACGGGCCATGACACAAAGTGCTTCGTAATACCTGATTCACAACTTACAGTGTGCAGCATGCTGTTCATTCATCCTTTTAAGGACAGTCCGTCGGCGGGGGAGGGGCACTGGCTGCATCCCCCTTCGTGCAGAGGAGGCCACAGAGGCTTGAGGGTTAAGCTAATAGTCTGGGCTTGCAAAACTGGACCCCAGTGGTGTCTGTTTGAGGGTGACAGGACCTGAACCCAGGTCTTCCGCATTTCAGTGACCTTTGCATGATGATGCAGATGGCTACCGTGTGTGTGCATGTGTCTGTGTGCTTACGTGTGTGTGTGTGTGTGTGTGTGTGTGTGTGTGTGTGTATGTGGGTGGGAGGGTATGTAAAGATGGGGCAAAAACTTTGGGAAAAGTCTGAGGTCCAAGTAAGGAAAGATTTGAACAGGAACCCAGAGAAGATAAGGCAGTGGGCATGGGGCCCCCAGCCTTATCACTGGACCTTCTGCATGTTCTGAGAACTCAGCCTGGCCGTGTGCTGGGGGAGCCAGTCAGATGTCAGGTTGCAGGGCAGTATGACAGGAAGGCAGGTGGAGGTAGTGACTTCCCAGCAGCCACTGCCAAGAGAGAGGCAACAGGTTACGCCAGGGACAGAGACCAGGGTCGGAGTTGGAGGGACTGGGGCTACCCCCTCACCTAGTCTCTTCCTGCCTGCTTGGCTGGGCACATTTCCTCGGAACCTCCAGTAGACAATGGCTTTATCTTGAAGGGTGGCAGGGAGGCTCATCGGACATGCGAATGCCTAGCAAGGGCCCCACCCTGGTGCTGCTGGTCTGTAGCCACAACACAGCCAGGCTGGAAGGGAGAAGCATCCCCCTCTGAAACGCAAGCACCTCCCTCGCTCCCTCTCCCCCATACGCACGCACACCCGGCCAGAAATAAATCGCCACAGGCTGAGCGGAGTGCGTGCAGTGACGCGCCCAGCCACAGGCTGCCAGGCCTGGCAGTGGAGTGAATGAGCTGCAGCATGAATGAGAGGGGCAGCCGCCGAGTCTGCACCAGCTTTGTGCCTGGTGCTTCACCTGCAGGCGTGCAGCCATGGTCAGCAGGAGGGGCCAGGCCGAGGGCGGCCAGCACGACAGCCAGGGGGCCAGGGCTGTGCGGGGGCTCTGCCCTAGAGCATCACGCCCAGGTCACCAGAAGAAGCTGGGCACTCGGAGCTCCATCCCGAGCTCGGGCTGTCCTTCCTCCGCCCTCCTTCCCACACGACTCTGCTCTCCCAGGCCTCGGTGCAGTGCATGACTGGGATCTGTAATGGGACCGAGCCTGACACCATGCAGGACAGACATCTTATGCACAGGTCAGGCTCGACCTCGGCTCAGCATTACCCTCAGCAGCTCCTTACAAGGTGCCCAGGGAGACCAGTCCACCCCCGCGAGGAAGCCCACGGAGCCTCCCATGTGAGACACAGCCCTGGTTCCTTGAACTCAGGGCTGCGATGTAGGAAAATAATATGTCTTTCAACACTGCAGGATCTCTGTGAGATGGACCTCACCCATTCAGAGGCGTGTAGGACCTGGGTCCTGCTGGGGGGACAGCAGTCATTCTCCTGCCTGTGCCTCCTGGCTTACACTGCTGTTGATTCCCCTGCTCTTTCACCGGTGCTTGATGTTTAGTTCATGTGTTTGTCACACGGGCACCCACATGGCTCTGTGGAGGCCTCAAACTCTTTGATGCTTTCGATCTCCAAAGGGATAGAGAGGTAGAGAGGGCTCATCATTCCCATTTGGCAGATGAGGAAACTGAGGCTCGGTATGGCTGAAAGGACCGGAATCACCGCTCTCTCCCTGACTCCTGTGTGTTGGTGCCTCAGCCACCACTGCACTCTAGAAAATGCTTTTCTTTCCCCTGTGGTGGGCACACAATAAACCTGAAGAACACATGAGTTCCAGCCTGTTACTGCAGCAGGAATGACGTCTTAAACTCCAGTGTGGGTTTGCACCTAAAATAAACTGCAGGAGGCAACTGAAAAACCTTCTTCCTCAGTCGTTCTGTGAGCAGAAATAACCGAGGCTCTGGAATGGAGGACTAGCGGGCAGTTGGGAAAGGGAGGGCAGGTCCCTGGAGCTCCCCTCCAGCCCGGCTCGGGGAGTGTGCTGGCCAGGGCCTGGTTCTGGCCACCATGGGCCGGTGTGTTGCATCCCATCAGCTGGGAAGGGTTCTGACAGCCTCACGGACCCAGCATGTCCCATGACACCCTGGGGAGGGCAGGACTGTGACTGACAGTGGCCGTCTTCACATTCCTCCAGACAATGAGCCCCAAAGCACTGGAGATGACCCAGTCTGCATTTCCCCAAGGGGTGCTCTGAGGAACCCCAGCTGCTAACCGGTGTTGAAAAAGGAAAGTTTCACCATCTACTAAAACTGGGAAATTCCAGGTTAAGGAGCAAGGAGTCTTTAACAGTCTTCAGAGACTTCAATAAGTGACTGCAGGTCATAAATCTCTAAGAAATTCCAGAGAGACAGAAAACGCACCCCGGCCCTCAGAGAGTGCTCCCGGAGTTATAATCCAGCAAACCTCAAGGAATGCTAATCTAGGCCATCTCCTCTTCTCACAAAGAGGAAAGATGGAAATTCAGAGACATGGAGTGACCCTTGGTGCCAAAGCAAAACTGGGGCCAGAGCCTGGCTTCCTTCTAGTGTGCTCGCAGTCCAGTGTGGCCAGAACTCAGGAAACTGGATCCAGGGCAAAAAAACTCCACCACGTTTGCCACTTACCCCCTTGGCATCTACGAGGTCCAAATCTCCAGGGCTCTGTGAACCCGTCCAGGAAGCAGAGCACACTGCTGTTAAAGCTGGCCCCACTCACAGCCCTCTCCAGAGCTGCAGATCTGCAGAGTCGTTGGCCCTGAGCAGGGGAAGCCCTGGCCCCGGGAGCAGAGTGTGAAAGAGTCCTAGGTGGCCTGACTCTTCAGAGGTGGTCACTGAGCCAGGTGAGGTTGGGAGACAGGATGCCAGCCTTAAGCCCCAGGGACTGGCACCTCCTTGCTCAGAGCCCTAATGGGGAGAATTGCAAAGGTGCCCCCCGTGGGCAGGACTGAGATGCTATCTGGTGGTGTAGGAGTGCAGGGCTGCCACCCAGGGTGCTCTCCGTGCTGATTCAGGGCTGCTGTTGGCCTCCTGTGAGTACTCTGGACTGGACTGGACTGAATGCCTTGGACTGGTGGTACTTGTAAGAAGTCAGCATGCTGTGATAGGAAGGTAACCCCAGTTCCTGCAATGAATCCTCAGCACAGGCTCCCGGTGGCTGTGACTTGGGGAGGAATGTTTGGTAAGGAGGCCACACTGCAGAAGGGGCAGGAGTGAGGGGCCAGAGAGAAGGTCCAGGCTGGCCGGCCAGGTGAATTGAATTCCGTGACGGCAACACAGAGGCCCTGGTGGACATGGCTGGTCTGCTGGGAGCTGTCTGGGACCCAGGCTGCTCCTGAGACCAGTGCACCAAGCAGAAGAGGAGAGAGAAGCGTGTGGATGGAACCCGCGGGGGTTGCCTGCCTCATGGGCCCGGCCCACCCACCCCTCACCAGCACCCCGTCTGCATCCAGGCTGGCTGCCACCAGGACCAGCGGTCTCTAGAAGGACCGAGAGCGCTGGCCTTCGGAAGCACCACCCAAAGCCACACTGCCTGCCCTCTAGGGAGCGCGATCCCCTCTGCAGCTCCCTGCCCAGCCACGGTTCCCCAAGAGGCCAGGAAGACTCCCAAGTGGTGCGATGGAGCACTAAGCAGGAGCAGGCAACACACCGGGTCCAAGGGCAGCGAGACAGGCTGAGTCCTCACCGTGTGGAGCTGCTTCGGAGGGAGGGCACTGGCCTCCGCAAGCCAGCAGGGCGACTGCACAGTGGCAAGTGTGCTACACAGGAAGGGGTCGGCTTGCCTGGGGTGGACGGGCCGACTTAGGGAGAGTGGTCAGGCATGGATTTTCATGCATCCCGAGGACGTTTTGCTGACCAAGGGCTGATCACACCCAGGTCCTTAACGGGATGATGATGGCAAGAAGATTGTATGCTCTGCGGCCATCCCGCCCGCTGGGCCGTGCCGTGGGCAGAGGCTCCTGGCGAGGACTCACAGAGGAGCCCCACCGCTCAGGTGTCCTTGTGACCAGTTCCTTCCAGAGCACTGTAAGGAAAGCATCCGCCCACCCTCCTGACCCAGCTGAAGCCCAGCGCCCCTGCGAAGCCGCCCTGACCGACCTCATCCTCTTCTAACGTGGGCTGAGCCGCAGGTGTGTCAGACACGGGGACGACACTGGGAAGTCAGAGTGAGTGGCCTGGGCTTGTCCTGTCTGCCAACTGCCGAGCTGCTCGCTTATATCCACACACCTGCACTTGGTCTTTCCAGTCTGACTGAAAGCACTCCCACAGGCAAGCTGTGTCACGGGAGGGTCAGGGCTTAGGCCAGGGGGTAACAGGACGAGCTCAGTCAATGCTTGTTGAGGGAAGGAGAGCTGCCATGACAACCCGAGACGGTCCCAGGGATGAGCCCACTCCGGCACCTTCGTGAGCATCTCGCATGCTGAGGAGTGAAGGCCTGAGCCGTTCTCTGCCGTGCACAGCACTCCACGCTCTGCCTGAGCACCAGCCCACCTCTGAGAGGTCTGCAGCAGGCGCTCCCAAGCCCTACAGCCCAGTGGAAGTTGTCACAGGACAGAGTGAAAGGCAGAGAGTATTTCTGAAGCCAAGGAGAGCCGTACTGCAGCTTTAGGCTTCTCAGAGTTTGCTTTCCTCCGTGAAAAGACTGAGATCCCAGAAGTCCCAGAGGAAGGCAGAGAGGGCTTTCGTGGAAAGAAGCAGGATGCATCCAGGGGACAGGGTCGCCCTCTCTGAGCCACCTAGAACTCTCCACACCAGCGAGGGGCTGCTGATGAGACCAGCTGGGAAGCTGAGGCAGGAAGAGCCCAAATTTGACCTGACCTTAGGCAACACAGTCCCTCAGCGAGACTCTGTCTCAAAAATAAAATATAAGAAAGGGCTGGGGATGTAGATCCTGGCAAAGGCCCTGGATTCAACCGCAGGTCCTGGGGGAAAAGCTGTTGGCAGCTCTGGTGTTCCGATCAGGGCTCTAGGGCTTCCACACTGCACTCATGATGAAACTAAGTGTGTAGGACTCGGTATGGGAGGGGGTGCGGGAAAGATGTTTGCTACGGCCTCGCCTCGGCTAAGAATACTATGTTTTTAAAGCTATTTAAGAGAGTCTGGGCAGAAGGAACAGCTAGTACAGATCTGCGAAAGCAGTGGGGCCGCCGAGAGCTGCGTCGTTCCGCGGAGCTCCAGCAGGGGGCGCCAGCGCGCCGGGTCCTCGCCCGCAAGGGGATCGTGCGGACGCGAGCCCCTCGAGGAGAGACGCGAGAGAGTTGTCCAGCGCGTGCCCTGACCCCGCGCTCTGGGCAGCACCCAGCTGTGGTGTGCCCTCCTGGGAAGACGCTGTCCGCAGGCCTGGACCAGCTCAACCAGCCCCTCCACACCTCGAAAGGCTGAAGCCTGGGCTTGGCTGTGGGCTGCGGACGCACGCGCTCCCTGTGCCCAGCACCCTGAGAAGTAGAAGCAGCCAGAGTTGGGGCGCGAAGTCTGCAGGGTGGCCCGGCCAAGCGTATCTCCTGCCGCCTGAGAGCACCCACCCACCCGCAGGAGTTTCAGCTCTGCCTGACACCGCGCCTGCGCTCTCCCAGATGCCAAGCCACGGAGGCACACACTTCCCTGGTGTTTGGGGGCCTTGGAAGGCCTCAGGGATCCTGGGCACAGAAGCTGTCACTCAAGAGGCCACCATGAGCACCAACCGGGAGCTCTGAACGGCTGCTGCAGCAGGTGGCCAGGACAGGATAGCCAAGCCTCCCTCCAATGCAGCGCTCAGGACCCCGGAGGCCCACTCACCCCAGATGTCTCCCAGAACTGCAGGCCACATCCCAGGCCCCTCCCACTGCCCCTAGGGCCACCGTCCAGTGCATCCCACCCTTCCTCCTGCCCTGCACGGCCACCTGAGCTAAGCCCCTGGCAGCCATGCCCTAGATGTCTGCCCTGCACCATGTCATGCAGCAGTTGGCCTCTCAGAGGCCACCCAGAGCTGCGAGCTGGCGACATATTCCTTCGGTGGGACATGCCTTCACACACTCTCTGTTTGCTTGGCGCTCACAGACTGCCCTGCCAGCCTGTGCTGACCCGTGCAGAGGCCCCCTGGCCCTGCCTTGCTTGCGTCTCCCCTGTCCACACTTCCAACAGCGCACACATACGTGCCAGTGTGCTCACTGCCTGTCCTCTTTATCCAGCAGCCCCAAGAAGTTGTCCCAAATCACATCCAGCCCTGGGCGTGGCCCAGGTACCAAGAAACACAGGCTGACTATTGAAGAAGATGGAGACTCCATGCTGGCCCATCCGTAAGCCCAACACTCTGGGAAGCTGAGGCAGGAGAACACAAGTTCAAGCCCAACATGGGCAATTTAGAAACTCAGTGAGACCCTTAATGTCTCAAAATAAAATATGAAAAAGGGCTGGAGATGTACCTCACTGCAAAGGCCGTGGTTTCATACCCTGTGCCACTAAATAAATAAATAACAAGACAAGGGTAACCCAGAACTCTGACACAGAGTTAGGACACAATTCACTTCAGGTTCTGGTAAGCGCTGCTCGCCTGCACTGCGTGAGGCGCTGTAGGAGCTGCAGAGGAAACTCATTCATTGAAGCCATCACACGTAGGGCAGAGGACAAAGGGCAAAGGGGCCAGAGGCAGTGCTATGGTGCCAGAAGGGAGGCCAGCCAGCTCGGAGGTCTGAGTAAGCACTGTGGGGATGGTTTGGTGTCACGGGGGGGGGCGGGTGTCGGGCTTGCAGTGTTCCCACGTGAGCCTGCGCACATGTGCACCGCCACCCTTCCCTAACGCGCTGGCTGCAGGTGGGGTTTCCACTGCAGGGCTCTGACTCCTTGAGCAAGCGGCACGATGCAGGGTTGCAGACAGTCAAAGAAATGTGTTGTAGGTATTTTGAAAAGCAAACAGGACTTGGGGTGGTGCCGTATACCTGTACTTCCAACACTGGAAGGCTGAGGCAGAAGGATGACAGGTTGGAGCCCAGCCCGGGCAATCTAGCAAGACCCAGTCTCAGAACAAAACAAAATAAAATAAAAATGGAAGTAAAATGAAAAGGACTGGGATGTAGCTCAGTTTGATCCCCATTCACACCACGCACACACACACACACACACACACACACACACACACACGCATGCACACGCACACACGCATGCGCACTCACACACACATGCCAGCACACAGTTTAGAATAGGCAAAAGCCTTATTTTTGCCAATTGTCCAGGTTTTGCTCTCGATCCCTGCTTTTGGCCTTTCCATAAACAACGTGTTTTAGATTCTTTTGCAATCTGTTCTATTCCTGGAGAAATTGAAATTTGTTGATCAGACCTCTGTCTTTCTCCTCCTTCCTCCATCTCTCCCTCCAACCAAGCGACCCCAGCAGCTTCAACTCTGGAGGCGATGGGGCGAAAGGAAGAAGATGACTGCAGCTCCTGGAAGAAACAGACCACCAACATCCGGAAGACCTTCATCTTCATGGAAGTGCTGGGCTCGTAAGTCCTGGGGCTTTGAGGCCTATGCCGGGCTGGCCTGGCCATGGGCTGTGCTACACAAACTGGCTGAGGCTGAGGCAACTCAGCCCCAAGAGCTTTAGGGGACGGGGGAGAGTTTCATGGCCTGCAGGGTGGTGGACGGGGTTAGGGAGACATGAGCCCACAGGGAAGCCAGCCCTGTCCTCAGGCTCTGTGCCCTCCTGTGCCATCACTGTGGCCCCCCTGCTTCCAGGATTCTTGCCCTGATCACAAAGGAGCGGAACTGGGGGGCACTTCTGGAGACTCGGAGACTCTGTGACCAGGTCAGCCCCATTTACTGCTGTAGACGGGTGTACTTCGGTCTTTCAGCCGTGAATCTGAATTCCTACAGCCTTCCATGTCTGCGGCAGCCCTTTGACAGGGATTATGTGGCTGGCAGACCCAAGATGGCCTGTCTGGAGCTGCCTTTCCTAGTAGCCAGGCCTCTCCCCCAGGAGTCTGCGTCTCTGCTCTCTGACGCAGGCTGCCAGCCCCAGCTGGTCAGCTAATTAGTCGGCACACGTCGGGCCTGGGTGGAGAGGAGTGGGGTGCGGGCTGTCCACAGGCAAGCTTTTCTTCTGCCAGCTCTGGCTCAGTGCAGCTCCACACAGCCCTGGCCAGGAGGCAGTGACCTCGCTGCAGACAGACGGGAGCTGAGCTTGATGGGAAGAGACCTCTGCTCTCCACCCACCCACAGACACAGGAGGTTGGCAGGTTCTACATACACAGGAGCCAGAGCGCTGGTCATCAGCATGCTGGCCGCCCATCAAGAGGCCTCTGCCAAGACAGAGTGGCTGGAGAGAGGATTTCAGCAGGAGAGACAGGCTCATGAGTGAATCAGAGGTGGTTTGCTAAGCATACCCCAAATCAAGGAAAGTAGGCAGAAGGAAGCCCAGGCTGACAAGAGAGTGTCCATTGTCACTTAGATGCCTGCCACCAACTTTGCTGAGCCAGACACATCCTCCTCACAATGTTCCGCAAAGTCCACTGCGTACATGTGTAAATTAGAAGGGCGGCGGGGTCATGGGAAGATCTGTCCCTCCACGCTCTAGCTTGACAATGGTAGTACATAAAGAAAAGCTGAGACAGTAAAACTACAATGAACACCAATATTCCCGCCACCTAACATCTCATTACGCAGTTGGCCCTCCACACCCTCAGTTCTGTATCTATGAACCCGATCACCAGAGCAGCCAAGATACAGGCAGGGGGCTGGGGAGTGCACCCGGCGCCAGACCTGCTGTGTGGAAAGCACTCTCAGTGGAGCTCTCAACTCAGCACTGATTTGGGGACAGTGGCCAAGCTGCATCTGCCCCGCAGTCAGCACTGGATGAGGCTAAGAGGAGGCACCTCTCCAGGCCACTGCCTTTGCACCCCACCGCTGTGCTCAGGAGGGAGACAGGCACCCCCCACTGCAGGTGTCATGTTACCAAAGTGGGGTGCGCTGGAGAGAAGCAGCTGGGGAGAACAGGAGAAGGAGGTGCAGACAAGTCCTCCTGAAGCAAGCACTGCTGGCTCTGCAGGCCCTGCCTGTCTTGCGGTCTGATCCATGTCGCCTTGACCATTCAAAACTAGTTCTCTGCTCCCCACCTTGGCAATGGTAGTGTGAGGCCCTCTAATCTGCCGCCTGCACTCCCTGCCCACCACACACACACTGTGTGGCTAACGTGGGCAGAAGAACAATAACACCTCCTCAAATTGCCGTAACTGCACAACTCTCGGTGGTGCCCTTCATACACAGTGCACTGTGAATGGCATACTCACATCTGGGCAAACTGAAGGCCCTAATTTGATGTCATTCTCCAAAAGGCCCAAGAAGGTGTCAGCTTTGAGATCAGTGGACCAGCCAGTGTTGGGGTAGGCAGGAAGAACTCTGGCAGTGGGTTCTAGTATGCCATGGCTGGAAGGAATCTTTGAGGCCACATAGCTCAATTTTTATTGCATAGATTAGGAAAGCAAAGTCTAAGCTGAGATGAACACACAACTAATCCTAACTCAAACTTCCCCTCCATCCATCCCTCAAATAGATGCTGAGTGCTTTCCATGTGCAACCTGGCCCAGGAGCTGATCCCCACCCACAACCATCTTCGGTTATGCCTACCTCATGCTTCACAAGCCAGGCTGCCCCTCCCCACCTGCTGGTCCACCTTTACACTTTTCCTCCTGACTCCTCCCACTCCCGCTGGAACATCTCCAACTCCTGTTTTCACTGCCTAACTCATTCATCCCTTAAAACTGAGCTCAAAGATATTTTTAAGTCAGAGCCATGTGTTGTGTCCCTTGGCTATCCCAAATGGTCACTTTGTAAGGGTTATGGCAAACATGCCCCCTACCTAGCATTCTGTCTGCTGGGGAGTGGGAAATTGTAATAGTTATCACATGAATACATACAGGACATGGGTCTTCAAGGTGAGTGGCGTCTTCTGGCATTGGGTGGTGTGCAGCCTCTGCCCGATGGACACTGTAGTGAGCACCTGTTTCCTGTAGTCTCATATTCTTCTCTCCATGTCTGTGTGTCATACTGGGTTCTAAACCAAATAAGTACTCATGCCAGTGCCCGACACAGAGGTCCCAGCAGCTCCTCGGCACTCAGGGAACATCTGGTGGCTGCTTTCCAACCGAATCCTCACTGCCCACTTGCCTGTGCTGCTCCCCAATCTGTAGGCCCCTTCAGAATGGGAACTCACTCACCTTTTCACCTCCAGTGTCTAAGACTCAGTAGGTACCCGGAGATCTTGCTGGAAGGGATGCGCAGAAGGTTGGATGTGGAGACAGAGCGCTGAAGGCTCCGTTGAACTCTGCTTTAAGTGCATCCTCTGGGGGTCACGGGGCAACCCAGACCCCAAAGAAGACATGTGTTACCTAATGTGGATATTAAAACTTTCACAAAGACTTGATCACCCTTCACCCTCATCCTAGAAGACCCTAGAAGGCAGGGGGAGAGGACAGCTCCCCTTCATCCCTTCTGTCTTCCCTTGCACACTAGCTATTCTCCCATGGGAATCCCAGCAGCAATAACTACAATGGAAGCGTCTGGTGCACTTGGTTTTAATAGGGGTCAGGAACACTTTTAAGCTCTTTCCATGTTTTGGATCTTCATTCTAAACAATCAACCTTACAAATCAGAGATGATCATTATACCATGTTTTAGATGAGGAAACTGAACACGTACAAGCTAAGTGATTTGTCACCCAAAGAGCTAGGGTTCTGACATGGAGAATCAGGCACAGCCTGATTCTCCATGGGTTCTCTGGCAGTGGGTTCTAGTATGCCATGGCTGGAAGGAATCTTTGAGGCCACATAGCTCAATTTTTATTGCATAGATTAGGAAAGCAAAGTCTAAGCTGAGATGAACATGTGCAGAGGCTGCACATGGAGATTCAGCACATGCTATTCTGCTAGGCTCCACCTGCTCTGTCCTCAGACAGCGTGCCCCAGAAGCTTCTGGGCTCTGTTCTTGGGCCTTGCGGGTCCCATGCATAAATGAGGATGCTGGGTCCCCTTATGTTCTGAAAGTTGGTTCAGGTTGGTTATCACCATCCAAAACTCACAAGCTGCAGCTGAGCCTCTCCCCGATGCCTCTGCCCCTGCCATTCCAGCAGGCCACACCACACCACGTTGGAGTGGACTCTGCAGCAGCCTCTCTTTGATGGAGAGACCTCTACACTGAAGCAAAGTATTTGGGAGTTGTCACGAAACTATACGAGCAGACAAAGCACTTGCCTCACCCCTGATTCCAGGCCAGATCTCTTCCTTCCCATAGGCTCTGTGAAGGAAAGAGCACCCTGGCGTGTTGGATGGGCCCTACCACAATCCCAAGGGAAAGTCCTTATCAGCTACATCTTCCTTTATCCACCCAGTCATCCCGCTTCCAGAATGTTCCCTACCCCACCAGAGCTAAGTTCCATCCTTGGCATCTTCCCCCAGAGGAGCTTTCTCAGAAGTGTTCCTGGTGAAGCAGAGGGTGACTGGAAAGCTCTTTGCCCTGAAGTGCATCAAGAAGTCACCTGCCTTCCGGGACAGCAGCCTGGAGAATGAGATCGCCGTGCTGAAGAAGTGAGTGGGTCTCAGGGTGGGTCACGTCCTTCGCAATTGACCTTCCAGAGATCCTCAGCTAGAGGTCATGCCTGGTCACTGCTCCCTAGGCTGAGCTGGTCAGTCAGCTAAGTTTAGTCAGACAGCTGTCCTGGCTGAAGTATTTCCCAGCAAATTGAGCGGAGAACCCACTGGAGGCACAGCCAGGTCATGCATGTGGGCTACAGTGTAATTAACTCAAAGGAACAGAAGTCAAATGGCCGTCAGGAAGAATCAATAAGAAGGAGGCAGTGTAAGACTTGGAAATTAGCCTCGGTTTTGTCCAAAGCAAATGTAGCTTTAGCACCCGACCAGCAGAGTAGAGACTACACTAACAAACCCTCACGGTTGGCAGCAAGGCTCTTACAAAGAGCCCTTTAGACTCTCCGGCTGCACCACAGGTCTGCTCAGAGCACTGACAGGGTCAGGGCCGTGAGGATGAGGAGAAGTTCTCCCCCTTGGGAGTACACATTACCCAGGTGGAGGCTGCAAGCCTTGTAAGCCCCAGCTCCAGCTGATGTGAGGAACAGCAGGAAGCACTGCGTGGAGGAGGGGGGCATTGTGGAAGTGTAGATACCGTTAGGGGAAAGTGGGTACTGGAAGCCCCTGAACTCAGAGCAAGTACCACAGATCTGAAACATGAAAAGGCCCTGGTTACAAAGATGCCAGCCCAGAGGATGTTGGTTCTTTCCTATGGGCAAAGAGAAGTCATCAAAGGGTTTTAAAGAGGACTCAGAATTGGACAGGCATTTCAGAACCATTCCGCTTAGGCATGGTAGAGGTAGGTGAGAGGAGACCAGCCGAGTGGGTGGGAGACCTGTTACAAGACGTTCACCATAATCTAGGCATGGGGTGAAGAAACAAGCAAAGGTAGTGGCAGGATTGTATGGAGCCCAGACAACTATCCCAAGAAGCATTTCAGAGAGAAGTGGTTGGGTTTGGGGTTGACCAGAGAGAATATAGAAGGGAAATGCATTCAAAATTCTCCTGAGACTGAGCACACACCCAATAAGTGGGACATGATACCATTTCTTAGGAAGGAGAACAAAAAGAGTAGATTTGGAGGGAATGGAAGAAATTGGTTGAAATATACAGAATACAGGAATCCACATGTCTTTGTAGGGAGGTGTCTAGTAGGCTACCGAAGACAGAGAGATTAGGGTGGAGAGAGGGACTGTAGAGTCACTGAGAGCAAAAACCATGCTATATTCAGCGGATATTTGTTCAGTGGATGAATAATTAATAGATTCATGTTGGCATGCATGGCCCATGAGGATAGTTGATTTGACCAAGCAACCACAGCAACAGTCCATGATTTTTAAAGTATCTGAAATTGAACAGCTCCTATAATGTGCTGGCAATTCCCCAGGCCCTGTAGGAAGCGTTTGCAGAGCATTGTCTCTTCTAATCCTGATCAAGCCCTGTGAGAGAGATGTACTTTCCTTTTGAGGAAAATGAGGGGACTTCCGAAGATTTGAGAAAACCAACTCAAGATTCCCAATGAATAAGTGCCTGAACTGGATCTGAACCCAGAACCAGATGACTCAGTCTAAATTCTTAACCCCCGTGCTGCAGAACCATGAGTAAACTTCCTAGTGAAATTCTTCCTCCACAGAACGGCTGCCCAGGAAGCCAGGCCCTTCCGCTAATATGATTATTGCACTCAGCTCAGTATCTGAGGGTGATGTAAGTGTGACCTCAGGCAGGGGTTCCTGACCACAGCATGGGTGACACTCTGGGCTGCCTCGTTCTTTGTGGTGTTTTTCCTGTGTGTTGCTGAGCATCTGGCTGCATTTCTGCCTCCAGCAGCATCCCCCAGGCTCCAGGAGTGACCATCAAAAATCTTGCCAAATTTTCCGTAGGGAACAAAGGAGCCCCTCCTAGTAAGAGCTGCTGATTTAAATTATCCCACATAAAATGAGAGTCTTCCTTGTTCTTCACAATATCCTAGAATTGTACGTTTTCAGCACTTTCTTCACGGTTACCCAAGATGGAGCTCAGCTAACTAAACTCCCATGTTCTGGTAAATTTCTTCATGCCGTGTTTCCGCAAGAGAGCTGCATGACCATTTCTTTAGATTTACCCAGTGTTGGGTAATCCCTTCACCTCCCTCAGTCGTTTCTTTGTTTGTTTGTTCTTTCTGTGGTGCTGGAGCTCAAAGCCAGGGCCTCCTCACACCCAAGACAGGCTGTCTCACTGAGCTACAGACCCGGCCCTTCCTCAGCTCTTTTAGCTTTCTGAAGTCTAATGAAATTCTTAGAGTAACATGAAATGCTTCCTGAAAGCAAGATGATCAGTTATTCATTCCACAACTGGGGACCTCTTTCTGGGATGCTCTGGCAACAGCCTGCTCATTAATCAGGCTCCCCAGAAACTCAGTCGTCCTAAATATGACCATCGAAAGTGTCCACAGAAGCTGTGGGACTGGCTCTGCGTTCTCTCACTGTGACACTTACTTCTCCACAGGATCAAGCACGAGAACATTGTGACGCTGGAGGACATCTATGAAAGCACCACTCACTACTACCTGGTCATGCAGCTGTAAGTGAAAACGGACCCATTTCCTCCCAGAGGCCTGCCAGGCCCAGAGTTTTGTCAGCAGTGAGGGAAGGGTGAGAACAGATAAAAATCAACAATTAGTTCGAGCAACTCCAAAATGCTGAGTCCATTTAGGATCAATACATTCTGGCCACAGGGATACTGTGTATGGCCAGAGAGGTAACACTGAGGCTGATTACAAAGTTGCTACCCACCAGTATAGGCTTACTAGTTGTTAAATATTTCTTACAGATTGACAAATAGCTGTCCCACTTTCCCTTGCTGGGGTGTGCCCACTCCCCAGCAACTGCAAGGGCAATGCCAGGCATAGCATGAGCCCCAGTACCCTTTCCTGGCACCATCACCTGGGTCTGTCTTGACTGCCCATGTCCATCACCTAGATAGTAAATGTATTAGCATCATTCCAGGGGAAAGTACTATAGGAGTAGAAGCCACATGTAGACAGATTTCAATTCAGTAAAAGAAAGGCTTTCTCAAAGTTAAAAGCGGGCTCTGGTTGCATGTGTTCATCTGCAGGACAGGAGTGAGGCTTCATTAGAAGGGTCTCTGTGTCGATGTCGCAGTCATACTAAGGGTTCTACCTGGTTTTGACTGCTCTGTGGGTTGGTCAGCACTCCTGAGAGCTCAGCCTTGGGTGTGAAGACACGCGTGTGCTAGTTGTACAGAACAGGCACACACGCCATGTGCACGCACTGCTCTGCCATCTCAGCATGGCTAGATGCCACAGGTCTCAGCTGATGGGCTGATTCCTCAGACCTGTCACAGGTTAACTCAGGTATGCGCAGCTGATGAGCTCCTGGCTCCCCAAGGCCAGGGGAAGGGAGAGAGCGGCAGCCATGAGAGTGAGGTAGGGAGGGCCCAGAGCGGCACTAAGTGATCTGGGACCATGTGGCATCTGCAGGTGACCAGTTCCACAGAATTAGCACAGTGGTTCCGCGGGCTAACAGGAGGCGAGGAAGTGGGAGACTTAGGTATCACTCAGGAGCCACTAAGCCTCTAAAAGCACCATGCTGGAACCCAGGCCACTTACGCTCGGGACTTCAAGTTTGGAGCTGTGGACAAAGAGAATCTTCCCCAGGGACCTCCAGCTCCCATAGCACAGCTGCACGCCCACAGGCAGAAACAAAGGGAGCGGACGGTGTACACTCGGCCGGAGAGACCCCTGCCTTTGTCGCTGCCTGGGGCTGTCTTGTGTGTGCAGCCACATTTAAGGCCAGGGGACAGTGGGCGGGGTCAGAACTACGAGAGGCCCACATGCAAACAGTGTGGAGATCATCCCAGGGAAGAAAGGCCAGGCCTTGGGAGAGCGAACTTGAAAAGATTTGTGTAAGGAGGTTTCTCTCGTTCTGCTGGAAGCCACCACAGGGCATCAGGTTCAACACGAAACATAGAAATATGATGCAGATGAAACAGCCCATCAGAGGAGGTAGTGAGTTCTCTGACACTCTGATGTTCTAGTACTGACTGAGAAATGTCCAGGCAGATGTCATAGCTGCTAGTTAAGAGCTAAGGTCGGTCTTGGTCTTTAAACTTGGCTGATCGTGAGACGCCATGCATGTGAGTCCCACAGCACCCCTGCATGCCCAGCTGTGATTGCAGCTTTAGGAGCCCAGCTCTCCACACGTATGGAAGAAACCCTGATGAAACACAGTTAGCCTCACTGTTATGCTTCTCTTTTCTACTGTGCCCAGACAGGTGTCACCTTCCCCTCTCTCCCTGTCTCCAGGGATTACTAGCTCCTGAGGCAGCCCCAGACCAAGGCATTTGCATTTTAAAAAAGTGTCCTGAGATAAATCCTGCTTGGTCCCAAGATAGAGCTCCTCTGTCATACCATCCCAGGCCCTGGAGGAGGCACTTGGAAGCTGGTGTGGTCCCCCTTCCAGCCACAGTCCCTGGCACCTGCCTGGCCAGGCCACTTGTCCCCCATGGCTGCAAAAAGCAAACACAAGTGCATGTCTGCAACCTGAACTGAGAACCACGTTCCTGTGCCCACAGTGTTTCCGGTGGGGAGCTCTTCGACCGGATCCTAGAGCGAGGTGTCTACACAGAGAAGGATGCCAGTCTGGTGATCCGGCAGGTCTTGTCAGCAGTGAAATACCTCCACGAGAACGGCATCGTCCACAGAGACTTAAAGGTGCAGGGCAGGGATGCTCATTGGCAAACAGGTCATGATCCTTAGGAGGCTGCAGGGACTGTGAGAAATCCAAGCTCTGAAGACAGTGAGGATCACACCAGTTGGCTCCCAGGCCTCCTCTGCCCTCAGACTCCTTAAATGAGCCTGGGGTGGCTGAACATGCATTGTTAATTCACACCTTAGCCTTTCCTGAGCCTTTCAGTATGCCTTACCCCATCGGGGTACCAAAATAATTCCCCCATTCCTGAACCCAGCCACAGTCAAAGTCAAATGCAACAAACGCCCATCAAGGGTATATATGGCCCCTGGCATTGCCACAGGCTTTGATGAGACCAGAGGCCGTCAAGGAAGGGTTGATTCCCTCAAAAACCAGATAGTCCAGAAGTAGCTGTGACATGGGGAGGGGTCACAAGGCTGAGGCAAGTCAAGACCACGCACAAGTCACAGAGCTCGGGGGTGCTGGAGGGAGGCGTGGGGACGAGTGGAGCTGAGTGGAGCCCAGGGCTCGGCATCCTGAAAGCTCTGTGTCAAGGGGAGGAAGAGAACTCACTGCAGGCACGGATGGGCTCTCCCTTCCTGCAGCCTGAGAACCTGCTGTACCTCACCCCTGAGGAGAACTCGAAGATCATGATCACAGACTTCGGACTGTCCAAGATGGAGCAGAGTGGTGTCATGTCCACGGCCTGCGGGACCCCAGGCTATGTGGGTGAGTCCAGGAGCAGGAGAAAAGGTGACTGCACTCCCAGGGAGGGCGACCGTGAGGAGACAGGTTCGGGGTCCAGGGTCATCCAGGCACAGTGTTCACCTTGGAAGCTTAGGGCCAGCCAGTCCAGCGTTCTCGGGACGCCTCCCTGTCCTGCTCTCAGAGCCTGCATCTAAAGACAGACCACCCCTCCACCGCCCCCACCTACAACTCCACCGTCTCCCACAGGCTCTGCCTTGGTCTCTCCAGAGGACAGAGTCCCAGACCTAGATCCTCTCTCAGGAGAGTGTGTCGGGGTTGAGCACTCTCCCTACTCCGCCCACTCTAGAGAACTCAGCCCCCAGCTGTGGGCTGCTCAGGCTGTGAGTTTGGGCCTAGACACAGACTCCATGTGTCCCCCTAAAGAAGCACCCAGAGAGCTGGCAGAGGCGGGCATCCTGCCCAAGTAGCTCTGTGGGTTCCTGGCAAGGTGGGAGCAGAAAAGGAGCCATGAGGGGTTCCTGGGCCGGGCAGCAAGCTGAACATGAGGACATCCGCCTGCCCCTTTCCTCCTGGCCAGGCACTGCCTGCTAGGAGTTGGGGAGTGTGAGGCAGAGCCCCGACTCGGAGGGAACCTGTTTGTTTTCTGAAAGGGTGGGCAAAGACTCACTGGAAGAGGGCTGCAGTGGGTGCACAGCTGGGTATCAGGGGAACACAGAGGCATCATCTACTGCCCAGGGCTGCCAGCCCAGGCAGCCAGTCGAGGCGGTGACCGACTAAGCTTCAGTTGAGTCTGGGGGAAAGTTCCTGCCTGTGCCCACTCCTACCTGGAGCTCCCCTAGTCTGAAGGGAAAGATACAACCCTTTCCCTGTCTGAGTGGGGAGATGGGCCAGAGTGCTTAGTCCTGGAGGGGGCTCAGCACTGGAGGGCCCCAGTCTGATGGCAGTGTCTTCCACGGCAAAGTCAGTCTCTCTCACAGGAAGATTTAGCCCTTGGGCAGTCCCAGTCCCATAGAAATGCCACCGTGCCAAGGGCCACCCCTGTCCTCTTGCTCCTCTTGCTCCACCCCTGTCCTCTTGGTCCCTGTCCTTAGGCTCTTCTCAACCTGCAGCCCCCCGCCCCCAGTCCTCTCCTTTTGCTCCCAGCCCTGACTGTCGTTTGTCTGCCACAGCTCCGGAAGTGCTGGCTCAGAAGCCCTACAGCAAGGCTGTGGACTGCTGGTCCATCGGCGTCATCACCTACATATTGTGAGTGGAAGTCAGCATTGCCTCTGTGCCTCGGAAACCCCAGAGCCTGCTTGCTCCTTCCTCCCCAGCCCTGCCTCGGCACATGCACACACACACACGCACACACGCACACTCGTGCTCACGGCTCCAAAGCTTCTCTCGTCCTGCTCTTCCCCAGATCGGAGCAGGGCTCCACCTGAGCCCCATGCAGCCACCCAGGCCTCCCTGCCAGCATGCCTACCTGCCACACACAGATGCACTGAGGCCCAGCAGAGGGAAGGGAGAGCCAGGCCAGGCTTGGAACCTGGAGACCCCTGCCCCTGTCTCAGCTTCCTGCCCTGTGACTTCAGCCCAGGGCACAACCAGGGCTCGGTGCAGTGGGTTAGGCTGCTCGGTGGTTCCCAGCCTGGCCCGCTCCGAACCATTCATCACCTCTTCCCCACATCCCACCCATGTGTAGCAAATTCTGCTTTGGAAAAAATAATCTTCCAGTAGACTCTGGCCAGTGTGGACTCGGTTCTCAGCTCCCTTGGTTTATGGAGGATAATTGCTCCCATGCTTGCATTTGTTCAGCACTGCTCGGACTGTCCACTTGGAGTCAGTCTCTGGTGCCAAAGAGTGGACCAGCGAGCGAAGCCACGTAAATAAATTGCTCATGACGTTGAACCCAGGGCCTTCACACTGAGCTGCACCCCCAGGTCTTTATTTTATATTTTCAGATAAGGTCTCTAAGTCACTGAATTGCCCAGATTGGGCTGGAACTTGAGATCCTCTTGCCTCAGCCTCCCAGAGTGCTAGAATTAGAGGTGTGCACCATTGCACCCAGATTTCTACTATCTTTCTTAAAGATAATTTGTACAGAGCATCTGAGAGTCAGAGGTGGTAAGGGTTTGGGGAACAGTGCACACAGGGCCTTCAAGGGAAGCTTGTTCAGCTGCCAGCTCTTATGCCTCCTCAGGGACCTGTGCCACCTCCTGGCCACACTGCTGGCCAGGACCTTGGCGCCTGCCCGCATGCACAGTTGGAGTGGGAGGAGAAAGGCTCAGCACTGCCTCTTCCTGTCTACCGCAGGCTGTGTGGGTACCCGCCTTTCTATGAAGAGACCGAGTCTAAGCTCTTTGAGAAGATCAAAGAAGGCTACTATGAGTTTGAGTCTCCTTTCTGGGATGACATTTCCGAGTCAGGTAAGGTGGTGCATGTGAAGGACAAGATAACAGGCTCAAGCCAAGGCTGTCAAAAGCAAAGGGTGACAGTCCTGGCTCTTCAGAGTCCCTGGGGAGCCAACCAAACAAGCTGCCAGTAGGGACACCGTCACCTGGTTCAAAGGTGGCAGAATCATTGGCATCTAAGGTTCACATTTGTTTTCCAGAGACTGAATCACAGTATGCCTGGGGGCAGGGGGCAGGGGAGGAGAGGCCAGGAAGGCAGAGTGAGGGGCAGGAGAGCTCCAGGTGGGAGCTGCAAACCTCAAGGTTAGACGCCTGCACAGAGCTCCCTGAGGGGGGAGGCGTGAGGCAGCACGTTGGGCTATCAAGTGCAGATCGCAGATCGGAGCCAGAACTAGCGCACTCACATGCACGCCCATGTGCGGTGCCGGCCGTTCGCGGGTGCAAACGCATGTACATGTGGTATGCAGGCACATGGGCGCCTCGTGAGCAGTGAGGTTCCTGCAGAACGGTGTGGGGGAGGCTGCTTGCAGCCTCTCTTCTTGGGTGGCTTATGGTGGGTTGTTAGGTGGTTTGGATTTTTTTTTTCCTCTCTTTTTAAAACTCTTAAAATTGCCTCTTTGGAAGATTAGCTAAAGATGCATTCACTGCCACCCACCAGCCCCGAAGTGAATTTCCATCAGTCATGAAAGCTGGTCTTAGCTGTCGTGTCTCCCATTGTTCCCCTTAGCCAAAGATTTTATCTGCCACTTGCTGGAGAAGGACCCGAGTGAGCGGTACACCTGTGAGAAGGCCCTGAGGCACCCCTGGTGAGTGAGGAACAGGCAGACCCCAAGTCTCACCTCATGGCTGCCAGAGCCACCATGACTCACTCGCTCCAATGACAGTGCCATGCAGCCCGCTGGTCCTGCGCCCCTGACCGGGACAGCACCAGGGAGCACACACTCGAGCACCGGGCCAAGGGTGAAGTGAGGCAGACGCCACAGAGGGCTGTCCTTCAAGGCCGGCATCTGCCCCTACCTGGTACAGTGCTCGGTCCTGGTGACTCCAGGAGACTTTCTCCTGCTCTGAATGTCATTTCACTCTAAGATCAAAACCCGTTCCATGTGAAGGGACTTAAGAGCAATCACAAAGCAGCTAATCAGTTAAACGGGTGAATAAAATCTTAAAACACATTTTTATCATGCTGCTGCCCTGTTCAAGAATTGGCAATTGCTGCTTGCTTCCTATTACAGCAATGCAGTGGATGCTTGGGTCACAACTGGCCTGACATATAAATAACCTGGGTTATGACTGGAATTTTAGTTTTAACTTTTGACCAAAATCTTGAGTTATGACCCAAACGCAGGCCGCTTGTGCTTACAGATTTAACCCTTAAAGAGTTCTGGAAGGAACATTCCAACATCCTTCCCTGTATGGGGTTAACTGAGAATCCTGGGTCAGTGTCTCTCTAGGAAGTCTGAGATCTGCCTGGATACAGGAGAGAGACTCTGAAGGCTGTGTAGAGGAGCCTGAGCCTCCAGTGGACAACTTGAGCTGCAACCAGCCCTCAGGAACAAATTGAGTTCCTAAGTCAAGGGTCCACTGTATTCTCTCTCTCCAGCTTCCCCCACTCTGGCCTGCCCTTCACTGCCAGTGCATTTCGCAGGATTTCCCACATACCTTCTCTGTTCCCAGAGACCAAGGGCTGCGCTTCCCTCCCTGTGCTCCATACACCAAACTCTCTCCTCACCACACCTTGGATCACACCCTTTTCACCATGAGGACGCCCAGCCTCTTGCCTTCTGTGTTGCCTCCTTTAGGATCCAGATCCCTTCCCCGAAGCCCCTGCCTCCTATAGTCCATGCAGACCTCCCCCTCTCTCTTTGTTAATTGATGCGTTCCCATAAATTTCTCTCATCCATGGCATGGAACAGCCCCACACACCCAGACTGTAGGGCCCTGCCGCCCACTTCTCTGGGTCCTTAGTGGATTTTCCAGTGGTGCCCATGGCAAGTATCTGAGGGACACTTGGAGCCAGATGTGTCGGGGCTCCAGGGAGGGGAAAGGTCAGCGGTGTCCACGGACCTCACTGAGGAGGCTCTAGAGGAGCTGGCTTCTGGGCAAAGTTTGAGGGAGAGGATGGTGGTGACACCCATGCCCTGGAATATGGGCTCAGCCCAGTTTTTGGAAAAGGGTCACATGGCGTGGCTTTGCTGCCCACGCCATCTCGTAGCAACTACTCGGCCCTGATGCTAAAGCACAAAAGCAGCCTCAGACCGAATGGATCACAAACAGCTGCATTCCAATGAAAGCTTATTTGAAAAACAAACAAGTAGATTTGCTCCCCAGCCCGTATTTGCCAACTTCACTCTTGTGGAAGCATAAGACCTCTGTGACCTGCCCAGGGGGAAGGAGGAAGCCTGGCCCAGCTCTTCCCTCCTGGAGCCCCGCTTCTCCCGGAGCATTCCACCCAGCTCTGACCTGACCTGACGCACAGTGCCTGCCGGTAGCCAAGGTCTCTTTCTTCATCTGCAGGATTGACGGAAACACAGCCCTACACCGGGACATCTACCCGTCCGTCAGCCTTCAGATACAGAAGAACTTTGCCAGGAGCAAGTGGAGGGTGAGCTGTGCTCTGGGGGGCTGGGCAGGCTGCCCCGGGCCTTCAGGCTGGGGTAGGGTGATGAAGGGCTTCCCTCAGAGCACCCTAGCTGGCAGCAGGACTCCTCGCACTTTCTCTCAAGTGAGGAGGGGTATGCTGCTTTCAAGAGGCCACAGGGAGCCTGGTGTGGTGGTGCATACTTGTGATCCCAGCCACTCTGGAGGCTGAGGCACGAGGACTGTGAGTTCCAGGCCACCCTGGGCAACTTAAGAAGCCTATCTCAAGATTTAATAAAGAGGTGGGGGTGGGGAAGGGATTCAGGGCGAAGGCACCAGGCTGAATTCCCAGTACCCAAAACAGAACCCAGGATAGGGAGTGCCAGGGTGTGGCCCTCTGACACGCAGTGCCTCCCCAGCAAGCCTTCAACGCGGCGGCCGTGGTACACCACATGCGGAAGCTCCACATGAACCTGCACAGTCCTGGCCGCCCTGAGGCCGACAACAGGCCACCTGCATCCCCAGCCTGTGAAGCCAACAGGTCCACCTCCCCTGAAATTACGGTCACTGAGGCCCCCAGCCCAGACCCAAGCACATCCCTCCCTGCACCAGCCTGGCCACCTTGCCAGCATGACCCAAGGCCAGCAGCCCCCAGTGGCAGATCCCTCAACTGCCTGGTCAACGGCTCCCTGCACATCAGCAGTAGCCTGGTGCCCATGCAGCAGGGGCCACTGGCCACCGGGCCCTGCGACTGCTGCTCCAGCTGCCTGAGCGTCGGGAGCAAAGGGAAGTCCTCCTACTGCTCCGAGCCCACCCTCTTCAGAAAGGCCAACAAAAAGCAGTACGTATTTACAGCAGCTAGAGTCCAAGCCCGCCTCAACCTGGGTGGGAAACTCGGGAACAAAACTCAAAAACTTGACAGACAGCTCTCTCTCCTCAGGCACCTGGAAGGGTGGGTGGGAAGAGCTCTGGCTTGGGGGCCACGGACATGTGTGCAGTCCTGCCTCCACTGTCTCCAGCTGTGAGACCACTGACACATCAGTGAATGCTTCCAGTTTGCTCATCTGTACAATGTGCTGATGGAAGCACATTTGCAACTCAGCCTGCCTCCGGGGGGAGCCTACAGGAAACCAGGGCATGCATGTTCGTGGACATTTGATATCGAGTTTCCAGAGCCTCCATGTTTGGGGGGAGGCAGGAAGTGGGGGTCCCTTCTTGCCCCATGTCTCCTCTGCAGGGACTTGTGCTGCCACCTCCTCAGGGGACAGCAGGATGGATGCCACCAATAGAGTGTAAACCCCCCACGCTTTTTCCTGCCACTTGTCCCCTCTACAGGAACTTCAAGTCCGAGGTCATGGTGCCGGTGAAAGCTGGAGGCAGTTCCCACTGTCGGGCGGGACAGACTGGCGTCTGCCTCATCATGTGATCCTCGGAGCCAGCTCCCATGTCACTGTGGTTTCAGGTGAGGCCAGCAGGCCTGGGGTCGGGCACAGGGACAGCTTCTTCCCAGGAACAAAACCCATCCCCTCCCGACCTCTTCCTTTGCAGGAGACGCGTTCAGCTCTTCGACCTTCCAGCCCTGGCCTCCACCTGCAGAGGGAGGAGGGGAGCCAGCGGAGCAGGCCTGGCAGGAGCAGATTTGGCTGGCAGAAGCAGCAGACACCTGGAGGCCAGGGGAGGGGCCCAAGGCCTGAGGCCCCAGCTGCAGCAGGAGGAGCAGCATCTCCTGACCTGCCTGCTGTGCGCCCCACACCCTAGCCTGTGCGGGCTCTGCACTGTGTACATAGATAGTGCTCACCTGGGTCTGTGTTTCTCGTGAAAAGCTTCATGGGCAGGCCAGGCCCAAGCAAAGCCATACAAAGTTTCTGCTGTGAGTCCCCGCCCTACTCATGCTTGCTCTTTCCTTGCTGGCCTCTGAGCCAGTAGCCAGACCAGGCTCCTGCAGCTTCCTGCCCCCGCATGAATGCCAGGAAGCTCCTAGGTCAGACCTGGAGTTTGCACAACTCCAATCCTCGCCTGGAGCGTTAGCTCCCACACCTCAGACCCCTCCTCCAGCCTCAATTTAAAAGCAGAGCCATGCTCCAAAAATGGGGCAAGAGGAATCCAGGACTGGGGATCCTAAGACTTCTCCTCCTGGCCACAACCCCGCCACATATGCCAAAAGCTACTTTCTTTTCAGCCAGAAATTCTCAACCTGCCTTTGCTCCCCTTTCTCTCCCAGAAAGTCAGGTGTATCATCCTGATCCCACCCTAGTCTTCCTGTTCCCAGGCCCTCCAGCTTCATGCTCTGTGTTGTGCTTAATAAAATGAACATATTTTTCTCTATGAAGCTTCATTTGCTTCTTTCAAAGGGGGATATATCTCAGTGGCACAAGTGCCTGCCTGGCAAGTGCAAGGTTCTGAGTTTGATTCCTGGTACCGGAAAAAAAAAAAAGGCAGCTCAGGGACTTCACATCTGGCTGGGGTGGACAGTGCATGGGCAACTCAAGGCCAGTTAGGAAGGAACAGTGGCAGCTATGTGTCAGGTTGGTGCCCAGGAGCAGGAGTTACACAGCTCACACAGCCCCCGGCAGTGAGTTCTGTGGAGCCCACAGTCTGGCTCCCACCCCTTCCTCTTCATGACTGGTGTGAGAAGCACATGAGCTGGAGGCCCGCTCTGCCTTCGCTGGCCACATCTGTGAGCTCAGGGGGTAACAGCCTTTGGGACTACGGCTTCCTCCTTTCAGACGGGAATAACAGGGCCACTGGATGGCAAGGATGTGCAGGCAACATGCCCAACACAGCGCTCCTGAATAATTAAAATGATAACTAATGATCAAGAAGTTAATATAGATAAAGTGTTAGCACCATGCCTGGGGTGTGGCTAGCATAGACAGGATATTCACGCCATTCCATATGCGACCCCAACACAAGCACTCACACACAGGTTTGCAACTTCCCCCTCAGACACCGTGAGACAGATCCTGGTCTTAGTCCTCCCTCTAGGAGCTGGATGAATCTGAAAACACTGCTGCCCCATCTGGAAATGAAAAGCTGGATTGCCACCACAGGCGAAAGCAGCCATCTGCTCCCACAAGTGGAATCTCTCTGCTTCTGGGGCAGAGGTCTGGCCTCCCTAAGTCTGGGCTCCATGCACGCTGCACCGAGTGAGGAGGGCATCCCCAGTCTTGAGCTCACTGGAAACAGATGACAAAGGCTCACTTCATGAGAAGACTGGCCCTCTCCCTCTCTGAACCTCCAGGTTCCTTTCCAGAGATTTTTACTGGGCTCTTTCATTTGCACACCATTTTGGGTGAAGTTTTTTTATTGGTCCAAGATCCACCGCACTGGAGGATGCAGTGTAGGAACACTGCCCACCCAGCTCCCGGACTTGAGAGTTTCCAGCCAGGCAGACAGGTCCAGTCCGCCACCTCCATCCTGCGCATGCCGTGGCCCCTAGCCTGGGCTGCATGTCTGGTGGCGTCAGAGTCTGCTGGAGCCAGAAAGTAGCCCAGCCTCATCTGTGTCCAAAGCAGGGGTGGTTGAGGACTGAGCAGAGGTCACTTGCAGGTGGCGTAGTAGAGCACGCGCCCATTGATGTGGTCCCGGATCTGCTCCACGCGCTTCTCCAGTCCCGCCAGGTCTGCCGAGCGCAGCATGATGGCCTGGCTGCCCTGCAGCAGCTCCGACTCCATGTCTGAGGGGGAGGGGACAGTGAGACAGAAAACTGTCTGGGTGCAGCATGGGCAGAAGGGTCCCCCAGAGAAGCCTGGCCTCAGAGGTGTGGCCTTGCCAACCCGACCCCCTAGAGGCAGAGCCAGGCCCATTGTCCCTGCGCCCCTGCATCTCTCCTGTGTTCTGGGCTCTCTCAACTGTGCCAGCAGACAAGGAGGCCACCACATTAAGATCCCCAACCCGATGCCCTCGACAGCTGCTGCCTCACCCAGTGATCACCAAATGGTCACCCTGGCACTGAGCTGGCCAGCTGACCAGAATCCCTCCCCACTGTCCCTCCAAAAAATAGATCAAGTCCTCTCCAGGTTCATCCTGCATGCCCATTCCAGATAACACGTGGAGGTCTGATGACTCCATGGTGCCCAGGCTGGCCTGCCCCGGGCCCGTCTCCTGGGGCACAGGAGTACGGACTGCAGTCAGTCCTGCACATTCCTGAGACTGGATTTCCTCAGGTTAACACCTCTGTTCCTCAACTGATACAGCTGCTGGGTCCCTGCCTCCCCACCTATGATGGACCTCCTGCTGATGTGTGCACATTTGTCAACAACCCTTCTGCAGCGGCAGCAGCCGTCACAGGAATGCCACCCCCAGCAGAGGACAGCGTACATGGAATGCCACCCCCATAAAGTACAGACGCATCCATAGGGTTATTAAGCAGCCCCACTCCCAGAGGCCCCCCGCATAATCCTGCATGCAGGTAAACGCCTGCCAGGGCTTCAACCTGAGCCTGTTCTGGTTGAGGGGGACATGCCACACCAGCGGCTAAGTAGTTTTAATGTCACTCCTGAGCTCTGATTCCCGCTAATTTGGCTGTTTTGTGTTCATTAGTGCTTTTGGCAGTAGCAAAAATTTACTGGCTTACACCAAGCTTGCAGTTATTCAAAACTCTTGGGTGTTTTCAGGTGAGACAACTCCTATCTGCCTATCACGTACCAGTCATAACATGTTTCTAGCGACATGGGCCGCTGAGCACCCAGGCCTCACTCAAGCTGTACTTTGTGGCACAGGCCCAGACAAGGCAGAAGTCACATTTGTCCTGATTTACTTTCATCCTGTTGGTTTCAGCCCGTCCTTTTTGACTTTGCAACTGCCTTAGAATACTCATTCTAGTCTGGTGCATTCACTGTCTGTCGTCCACAGAAGCAATAAACAAATCTTGAACTTCAGACTAAGCACTGACAGACAAGGCCAAGCCAGGCAGCGGCCCAGCCAGGGGCTCTTTCCTCAGCACTGGCTCCTCCTTCCTGCCTGGCCTTCAGCCTCACAGCTGTCCACTCTGAATCCACCAACCCGACCTTCTACTGTATCCACCTGGCCATCCAGTGACAAATCTGCCAAGCACTTCAGCTGACATACAGAGAATCCATGTTTGTACCACTCAGTGGGCACACCAGCCGGCGGCCCATCAGAGACTGACTGGCTTGTGGGAACCCCTTTTCCTCTTTCTGGTGAGAAGGCATAAAGGCTGCTATCACCCCTCCGCCACATTCAAAACGCCGAGAGGGTTCCCTGGGGGACCAGGGCCAGCCTGCACTCCTCACCCTGCTCATGGAGCCAGCACGTGGACCAGTGTGTGGAGCCAGGCTCCTTCCCTTCCGTCCCACAGGCCCTGCTCCACCCTCATCTCCTGTCCAGAGACTCAGTCTCTTTCCTACTAGGCTCCTTGCACTGACAGCTCCTCCTCACAGCCTCTCCCAGCCTGCACTTCCCGCCGGGCCCACCTCAAATACGTTCTCCTCTGAACGTCACCCTCATTGAACACCTCCTCTGCAGTCATCTGTCCTCAGACTCCCCAAGCTCTGATTGTGTGCACCCCACCCATTCACAGGCTACCTGATGCCACAGGTGTCACACATCTGACAGGTGACAGGAAGAATGGCCTCAGCTGGACAGCAAGCCTCTTCAGGCCAAGCTGGCGTGGACACCTCCGCTCCCCCACAGCCCCATCCCAAGGGCACTCACACCCGCGGCCAGAGTGGGCCCAGGAGCTCGAGGCTGGGCCTGGCCTTCGGGGTGCACGAGCCCCTGGCCCTCACCTCGCATCCTGTCCATCATCTCCATGGCCTCTCCGAACAGCTCCTCGGCTTCCGTCTTGACACTGTGAATCCGGCTGCCCTGCTCACCCAGCGCGGGACTCTGGCCCAGCCGGTCCTTCAATTCTGCGTACTTTTGTTTGATTCTGTCAAATCCCTGAAAGAGGTAGACAGCATGGGTTTTGGGTCACCATCACGATCATCTGAAGTCCTAAAGGGCTCTGACTAAAGCACTAGAGATCACCAAATCATCACCAGGTAACAAAGTGCCTCCCATCACTCTCCAATGGGCTGGTTTCCCCTATGAAACCTAAGGCCCAGATGATGACTTATCCTGCATTCCCTCCCACCAGGTCCCGCTCCTGCCCTGCCCCCCACTGCAGCGAAGCACTCAAGAAGAGGTAATAAGCAAGCAGTCCCTGCATCAGGACTGCACACGCCAGCACCCCTGGCCCTGCACATGCAGGGCTGTGCTTGAGGCACAAGGATGGCTCCTTGACCTTTAATCTAATCCTGGAAGTGGTGGAGTCCAGAGTGTCTGGCCAGGCTGGGGCTGAGAAGTCAAGCTCCAGATGCATAGAAAACACAAGCTCTTCAGATGAGCCTTGGGACTGGGGACAACTCAGCACATGCTGAGCTACACAGAGGCAGCCGGAGGTGAGATTCAGATGCTTGGCTAACTTTGGATTCATCTTTCTTCATTTTATTCTGCATAGTGTGTGTGTGTGTGTGTGTGTGTGTGTGTGTGTGTGTGCGTGTGTGTGTGTGTGTGTGTGTGTGTGTGTGTGTGTGTGTGTTTCACAGTACTGGAGACTGAACCCACAAGCTAAGCCAGGGCTTTCTCACTAAGCTAGATCCTCAGCCCTTTTTTATTTTTATTTTGAGATAGAATCTTGCTGAATCACTAAGTTGCTGAGGCTGGGCTCAAATCTGTGATCCTCCCACCTCAGCTTCCCAGAGTGCTAGGCTTGGAGGATTAAGTATATATACTTAAATCCACGGTCTCGAAGGTCCCCTGCTCAGGAACCCCTGGCTGGCTGTGCATCTGGGCTGTCTGGCCCTCTCTGTACCTCCTGGGCACTCAGGGCCCTCTGGCTGGCGCCCTCTGCAAGCTGCTGGGCCTGGGCTGCCTGTGCCCGCTGCTGCTGGGCCTGGCGCCGGAGCACTTCCATCCGCGCCCGGAAGCCACCCAGCTGCTCTGTCATGCCCATCACCAGCCCTTCTGCTGGCCCCAGGACCTGTTGCACCTGGCGGGAAGAAGAGAGGGGATTGTGGGTCTCACAGATAGCGAGATTCCCCACCCATGCTCTTCCTCTTCAGGTGACGGAGTCTCCCCACCCACACACCGCAGAGCCATCCTCCCAAATCCCCACTGTTAACTGATACCCAGGCCTCCTCCTGCCCTCTACTGCCCCTGCCTCTGCCCCTGCCCCTGCTTCCTGCATCCTGGAAAGAGGAGAAAACCCCAAGGTTTGTAATCTGTCTTCTCCAGCCCTCCAGCTCCGTGCCTGTTCAGTCCCAGATTCAGTGGAAGAGCCAAGACTCCTCACCTCGGCAACCCTGTCCTGGATCAGCCGCAGGGAGCGGCTGGTCCCTTGCATGGTGTCCCGAGCTTCCTGTAGTGCCACTGAACCCTGCCTCAGGTTCCCAACCACATCCTCCACCTGGCCTTCCACAGAGTGGGCGCGGATCCTGAGTGAGGCCGAGGAAGGAGGAGAGCAAGGGTGAGGGGACAGGAGATGAATATGCACATGACGCACTGGCACACCACCCAGCGATACCCTCCACTCCTTCCCAGGGAGCAGCAGGGCAGCAGCTCTAGCTCCCAGGACCCCCACACCCCAAGCAGACCTGGCAGGGCAAGTATCATGCCCGAGACACCTTCAGGAACAGCGATTCACATGGGATGCAGGCTCCTGTGAGCGTAGTGCACCCCAGACTCTGCATATACCTCCAGATCCCCTCCTGGGCTCCATGCTCTCCCAGGAGCAAGGTTGGGAGCAACACAGCCACCCCAGCTCAGGCAGGGAGATGTCCGGGGGCCAAGCCCACACCTAGCCTGCTCAGCCTCTGCCTGGAGCCTCCGGGCCCGTGCAATGTCCTGCTTGGTCTGGCCCAGCACCAGGTCCACATTGGGCAGCCTGGCTGCAATGGCCTGGATCTCCTTCATCTTCCGCAGGACGGTGGCTGAGTCTGTGGGCAGCCACAGAGCTAGCACAGCCTTGCTGACCTCCTCAATGATGGCAGCATCTGTAGAAGGGTCTGGAAAGACAGTCACCCATCAGACTGGGGGAGCCCACTCCCCTACCAGCAGGGCAGCAGCCTCTCCAGGCCCCGATCACCTATGGAAGGCACCTACTCTGGTCTCTCTGCTGGGCACCCAGGGCGCCGCTGCCCCCTCTCAGCCTGATTCAGGGGCCCAGCCACTTCCGGGAGTGACTCGGGAGGATGATTGTCCCGGACCCAGCACAGCCGGGAGGAGGAGTGTTGGCACAGCTGTGGCAGCTAAGTGTGTGGTGCACAGGAAGCTGCAGGCTGAGAGGAGGAGGTGGTGCCAGACAGCTGGCACTGAACAATGCCCGCAGCACACACACTACCACGTGGGGAGCGGCCAGGAGGTGGGGCCACTCCTTGGCAGTGAGACCCCTTCCCCACCCGCCTCAGCTGCAGTGCTCATTTCCGCACAGGCAGATGAGGATGCTCATTCTCTGCTGGAATGTCACCTACTCAGAACTGTCACCAATCTAGAAGTGCTGCCTGCATCCGCCCTACGCCGGCGCTCCCCATCCTCCCCTTCTTTTCCCTCCTCTCCAGCGCTTTGAACTCATTCATCTGACTTTTGTCTCTTCTCCCACTAGGATATAAGCTCCAGAGAACAGGGACTAAGCTTTGTCCAGGGCTATGTCTCCTGGACCCAAGCACAGTGCCTGGCACATGGAGATCCTCAGTATTACAGAACAAATGAATGATTGAAAGGTCTCCAAATGCTGGTCTCTCTTTGCTGTTCAAACAACTTATGACAAGGCAAGTGGCATTTACAATCTCAGTTTGCTGGCCTGTAAAATGGGACTCATGATCCCAATACGAAAAGTATAACAAGAAATGACCAGTTATCAAAAGCTCTTACAAACCAAAGCTGACTCCTAGAGTAAGGGCAGAAGTGATATCGCCCCATCTCTGTTTGCCTTTACAGGGTTCACCAGCCTGGAACAGTTCCAGAGAGAGCCATCATCCACCCAGAGGCCTTGCCCCAGGCCTGAGCACCCCTAGGCCTCGGGGCCCAGCCAGCTGCCTATGCAGGTCTCATCCAGTCCCCTGCCTCCTGGAGGTGAGGCCACCCTGATCACTGCTGCCTTCCTCGGGTCAGCCTGCAAGAGGCCCAGCTTCACAAGCACCGAGCGCTTGGAGATGCCATGCTATCCTCTCACCCGTGCCCTGCGCTCCCACAGTGCTTACTGCACACCTTCTCAGACGCCCCCAGGATGACCACAGCCCCCAGCTCTGGTGCACGCTGCACTCTGCAGCACGTCAGCTGTATGCATGCCCTTTGGAGGCCCTGAGGGGGCCCAGTAAGTATTTACTGCCCTGTAAAGACCAAGTGGGAGCTGAGCGTGCAAATGACTTAGTCAGCCTGAAATCCAGAGAGGGCACCAGGCATGGGGGTGCACGCCTGTGACCCCAGCACTTGGGAGGCTGAGGCAGGAGGATCGCTGCAAGTTCATGCCCAGCCTGAGCCACACAGTGAGTTTAAGGCCAGCCTGAACTACAGGGCAAGACCCTGTCTCAAAAAAAAAAATCCAGGGTGGGTAACAGGTACCCCAAAGGAAGCGCCCTACCACGTGACTGGCCACAGTAAGTACAGGTTCTGGGGTGGTCACAGAGGGGCATCTGGGAGGTTTTTGAAGAGCTCCAGGCCTGAGAGGACTCTCAGAAGATAAGCAGGACTAGGCCGGTCAGAAGAGGTCAGGAGGGAGACGATCCAGAGAAAAAAAACATTATTGAAGGTAAGGAGGCAAGAGCACGTGTGTGTGTGTGTGTGTGTGTGTGTGTGTCCGTCCCATAGTGCAATAATGTGGGCTGTTGACAATGGAGTGACTCCAAGAGGTCTGACTCCTACCTCCTTAGGCTGGACACCCTTGGGCATGTTGTTTAACCTCTCTGTGCCTGATTTCTTATATGTAAAGAAGAAGTAGTAATAGTGCTTAGCTCATGTAGCCAAGTACTGTTCAGATTAGGTATTAGAACGGTACCTGGCACTTAGTAAGAGCTTAATATACCTTAATTTGTCAATTCCATTGGAAGAGATGGTACGAACAATCCTCCAGAGCCACCCTGCTCCTCCTGTGCTGTGGCCCCACAAGCTGACAGTAGCTAGCACCGGTTCCCCTGCTCCAGACGCTCCTAGTGGTGACTGCGAGAACTGTCCTAGCCTTTCCATGGCCCAGTCTCTCCTTCCCTCTCCTTCCCTCTCCCTGGGATCATCACTGGCCTTGACCCAAGATGCTGCATAACTGAGAGGCCCCAGTGGGCCAGGCCACTCCTGCTGCCCACCTGAGCCTAGGCTGAGGTAGAGGAGAGAATTCTAGTCAACCCCATTCACCTGCCAGGCCAGGCCCTGGTCCAGGTCAGTTCCAGAGGAGCAGCCATTCAGCCTCACTGGACTCGACTCAGGCACAAGACTACCTTCCCTGGGCATCCAAGTCCCAGACCACAGCCTGCCCCCTACCTTTGTGTATTGGCACCGTCTGCCCACATCCCTAGAGCACCCTCCGGGATGCCCTATGTGGATCCTTCCTGCCCCGCTCTGACCTGCTGTCTGCACTCAGGAGAGAGCTCTGGCCTGTCTGGGGCAAAACCACGGCAAGAGTAGAAAGAAGAGCTGCTGCTGTTACACCGAGGCCTCAGCTCACACTGACTGGGCTTCCAGCCAAGCAAATTCCCCGGCCAGGACCAAAAATCTAATAATATCCACTCCCATTCCGGAGGCACCTTTAATTTTTCAAAGCACATTTTACATCAGTTATTTGAGCCTCAGAATAAAATACTACCAACCCTACTTTCAAGAGAAAAATGAGGAAAAGGAAACACAAGCAGTCAGAAGCCAAACAAGACTCCAGTGTCTTGCCCAGGACTTCCCTACGCAGCTCTGTCCCACCCTGCTGGGCAGCAGTGGAGGGGCCCAGCTCCGTTATGCATTCCACCAGCACTGCTGGGTGCTCGTGACTCAGCCATAGGAGAACAGCCACCCGTGCCCCCGGGATTGCACAGTCTAGTGGCGAGAGACAGCATACTCAGACTTGATAGCCAGGGTCCCCGTGGTGGGATGATGGCCAGATCCAAGGGGAGTGGGAAGAAGACGGCCACAGACAGAGAGGCCAGGAAAGGGGCTTGCTCAGCAGATGACATTCAAACCAAGACCTGGACCAGAAGCAGCCGCCTTACAAAGGGCAAGTGAAAGTGCCACAGCAGGCAAGAGACCACCTGTCACGTTCAAGGACATCCAGGAAGCAACAGAGAAAGGAGCCAAGGTCACACCCAGGAGATGGACAGAGGCCAGACTCTGCAGGCCAGGGCAGAAGCTGGGAGTTCATCCAGGAGCAAGGTGAAACCGCTGAAGGATGTGGAGACAGAGTAGAATGTGATCTGACTTGGATATTTTTAAAAGGTGTTTGAGGCTGTTCTGTTGAGAATGGATCGAGGGCGGAGGCAGGAAGGTATGGGAACAGCAGCAAGCCATGGCCATGTACCTGGGTGAGATGGTGTCAGGCGTGCAGGCAGGAATGAGGGGCAGACAGAGGCTGGAACTCAGCCGAGGACAGGGTGAGGGCAGCTCACCTGTGAGGAAGTTCCGGACCTGCTGGATAAGCAGCCGTGTGCGTCTGACGTCGTCCTCCATCTGGGAGCGGCTGGTGCTCACCTGGGCCTCCAGGCGCTGGGCATCAGATTGAACCTGCAAGGCAGCTTCCTCGGCTGCCTGGATCTGTTAGCACACACTGTGGTCAGAAGGTGCTTAAGTCACCCAGCAGCCCCCAAGACCAATCTACAAACCACTGTGACCAGCCAGGTTTGGCCCCAGAAGAAAGGATGTGGATGTTGGGTTAAGGGGAAAAAAAAGCCCAAACACTGGCTCCAAACTTATCTGCCACTTGCTGCGGGGACTTAGGCCAACTGCCTATGAAGGCTGGGCCTTACTCTCCTGACCTGTCCAAGGGCTCTGTGTCCCCTCCACCACCTCCCACCTGATCTCCCACCTGTACTGCACCTACCATCTGCCGGGTCTGCTGGAGCTGGGAGTTGAAGCCCTGCAGCTGCTTGGCCACTCGCCCGGCCATCTGGAGGGCCCCTCCACCCCTGGGGAGGGCGCCCCTGCAGTGAGAGCCACAGGTCGTGCCATTGTCTTGGAGGCACAGCTCACCAGGGCACACTCCTGGGGTGCAGGGTGCCTGCCTGGAACCTCCACAGACCTGTGGAGAGATGGGGTTGCCCAAGAGGCTCCTCAACAACCACTCTCATCCCACACCAGGAAATAGCCAGATGTCTCCATGACAACCAAGAACCATGAACTTGTTTCCTTGGCAACCCCTGAGCTCATGGTGAGGGGCACAAGGGCAAGGATGGGAGGAGTTGGTGCCCTGGGTCACCCTTGCGGTACATGTGTGGCCGCAGCTGTGTAGAACCCGGGGCAAGGCTCCAAGAAGTGGGGCTCTGGCAGCCTCAGTCACCTTGTTGATGGTGGGTGTCAGGTTGGGCAAGGAAGCCATCTCCATCTGCAGGGCTGCGAACTCAGGGCCCCCGGCTCCTCCTCCTTGCGCCTGCCTCTCCAGCCCTTCTGCCTCTCTGCGGCTGTCCCTGGACAGGCGCAGCAAGTTCAAGCTGTCGGAAACCTGCTGAGCAGCCCGGGATGACCGTTCGTGGGCTTCAGCCAGCACCCGGAAGGCCCCTGTGGGAAGAGGAATGGTTCGGAGCTGGGTCTGGCTCTGGGGAAGCAGCAGGAGGGAGAATGGGGTCCCACCATGGCTGTGGCAGTGTTGGGGCTGTCCGTGTCCCCACTCCTCACCTGCAGGATCAGCACTGCTTATCTTTTCAAACTGTGTTCTCTTGTTCTGATATGTAATGAGGAGGTTATTGAAGCTCCTGCCCAGACTCTCCAGGTCTCCAGGGAGGGACAGAATCTCTTCCTCTAGGGGCAGATCTAGCTGCAGGCCCTGGAGAGTCCGCCTGGGATGGGAGAAGCATTAGCTAAGATAAGGGGTCAGCAGGGGGTTGCCTCCCCAGAACCTGCCACCCCTGGGTCAGGGAAAATGCTTGATTGAGGGGAGAATTCCCAGGTTGCAGAGGATTTGGCAGAGTGGAGGCTGGGACAAGCTGGGACAGCTCTCTCCAGCTGTCTCCAGGGACAGCCTCCCTCAGCCCTCGGCAGCCAGGGCCACTGAACTCTCTTCTCCTTGGCTTCTGGGGTCCTCCTCCATCACCCACGGTTTTCCTTCCACTCCTGGCTTCCATGAGAAGCACTGTCCAGTCCCCTCCTGTTACGGTTGTGTCTGGATGTACCCCAAAGCCTCATGCTGTCATCGGGGAGACTTTTCAGAGGTGGCTGATCTAGAGTGTGTGATGCTGGGACTGATTCACAGTGCAATGCTAGAATCAAGGGCATTAGGATTAAGGGTGTGAGTGCTACCCGCCCTGAGTAGCCTGGATAAGATATGAGGGCTAGAAAGAGCTGTGGTTGTCCCTGCTTGCTTTGTTACATTGTGCCTGCCATGAACTGTTGCCCCTCTGCCATGCCACCCTGCCTTGGAGCTCACAGATTATGGACAGAAACCTCTACAAACTGTGAGCCAAATAAATCTTTTTTCCTTTAACTGTGGGTGTCAGGTATTTTGTCTCAGCAATGAAAGGAAAGTAATGAAGATGCCTCCTCCTTGGCTCTCTCCAAGCTGACTGCAGCCACCACCTGGAGAGTGAGGCTCCCCACCCCTGCCTACTTGTCACGCCCCGCTGAAGAGTCCCCTCCAGCCCACAGCCTGTGACCTCTCAAAATGTCTCCTCTCCCTGCACCCTTTGCTCTCCACCACCCTCAAGTCCCCCTTTCAAGCCCCGCATTCTCCACTTCTGAGTATTGCATGGGCACGGGGCACCTGCCAGTGGCCTGCTCCCTCAGCCTCCTGCGTGCTGTGGACAGACCCCTGCGGTGAGACTAAGGTGGGACAGCACTTCCACGACACCCTGCTCCTTACAGCATGTGCCCCTCCCAGCTCTCTGTACACATCAGCCCACTCCATGGGAGCTCCTAAGGGAGGAGACTGGGTCATATTCATCTTAATGACACCTTGCATAATGCATGGCTCAGAGTGCTTTCAAGATGCATGGAGTGAATGAATGAGTGAACAAATGATGCCCAATCTTTGCTCCAGCTCTTCTGCTGGACCCCATCCAAAGGAGCGCTAGCACCCCCATGAGTGAGAGCCTCAGGCTTCCTTCTCTCCGGGCTACCTTTCCCCAGCTGTTAGTCACACACCTGGACAGCTTGTGCACCACTGGTCCACCCATCCTTGGGAAATCCAAACTAAGCATAGATACTTCCAGAAACAATTCTCACTAAGAAGGTGACTCTGCCAGTAGGAGGGGCTGTGGGTGGGACAGCAAGTCTATTCCAAAGGCAAATTGGGAGCTATTTTTAGCATCTTTGCCTCTCTGATGCCCTCCCCAGGGGACTGATCCCGAGCTGATGCTCCCACAGGCAGTGCCAGGCACTCGGCTTGGGCTCCTGGCCCTTGGTAGTTCCATGCCTATGTCACATCACCTATCACTGCCTGTCTCCTTACCTGCAAACAGAGATAACACCAGCCCCACTCCACCTCACAGGACTGTCAGTGCAGTCAGAGCACCCCTGCAAAGCCTTGTGGGCTGTGCCAGGCTGCAGAAACACAGACAGTTAGCCCCTTCCACATGCTCAGCAGGGGAGCAATTACCTGAGAGAGAAGATGCCGTTGGCCACCTGGGCCATGTCCTGCTCTGTGACTGAGGTGCTACCCAGAATTGCTTGGATCTGCTCCACTTTGCTCTTGGTATCCAGGATTCGGGAGGCCAGGCCCACATCCTCCAGACCCGGCCCAGGCCGCAGGCCGGCAGTGGCATTGCGGAGTCTACTGAGGCGCCCAGCCTGCTCCCGAAGGTCTGCGTCGTAGGTCTGGAAGCAAGAGTGGCAGGCCACACACACTGGGTAGCGGTCACAGTAGCCTCGCTGGCACTGGTCGCAGCGGCGCCCAGTGAAGCCAGGGCGGCAGAGACAGCGGCCAGAGATCTTGTCACAGCCTGGATCCTCCGTTGCCTGGAAGTCACAGTCACAGGCTAGGGCCAAGAGAAAGGAGAGTCAGGGGGCAGAGCCGGGGAGAGGATGGTGTCCTTCCTGAAGAGGAGGTCTGACCAGATGGTCCCCATATGTGACTTAGAATGACAGACTGCAGTGGCTGGAATAAAGCTGTGACAACAGCAGCAAGGACAGAACCCACCACACACCAGGCACTGGTCCTTCGATCTTCACACACAGGCACTCATCCGATCCTCACAGAGAGCTGGCACCTTCATCTCCCACTTTTACAGCAGAGACATGGAGGTCTGAAGAGGCAAAGTGCCAGGCACTGCCTCCTCCAAGGAGGAGACACATACAAGGGGAAGCGCCCCATGAGGTGCCAGTCCGGGCAGAGCAAGACTGAGACCAGGTCTGCACACCATGTCCTGTGCTCTTGGGGAGACGATGTTTGCCCCCAGGACTCACTTCCCATACCCCTGCAGCGGCTGGGAGATGCTCGCCAAGCAATCTTCCTGCTGGGGACAGGCTGGCCTGGGGCAGGGAGACCCCCACAGCAGGGGACACACAGGCACCACACACATCCACACAGGTTGCCACCCATAGAGCCCACGCGCCCGTCCCCGCGAGGTCAACACGCACCTCGGCATCCTGTGGCCACGTCGCCATGGGTCCGGTCGGGACACTGGCGGATGGCTGCAGCGGCATTGCACTTCAGGCCATCGAAGCCCTCCCGGCAGGGGCACTGCCCTGTGAACTGGGCAGAGGAGAGTACCCTCAGGTTCTGTGTCCCGGGTGTGGGGACCCCAGATCCCTGCTCTGCAGGCAGAACCCAGGGTTCCTGGCTGTCAGCAGAGCTGGTACCACCCCCAAAACACGGGCTTCCACCCAGAGACAAGCCCAAAAGTCAGGGTCCCAGGTCTTGCTAAAAGCAACAGAGAGGGGGACATCTGGCAGCTCTCTCTCAGGGAACCAGGCCAGAGCAGCCAGCCTGACTTGGAAAGCCCAGGGGGCAGTGTGAAGTGAAGCGGATGGGGCAGGCAGGACCCCTCCTGCCGTGGGACCTCCCCCACAGTACCTGGTTGCACTGGGAACTGAGGGAAGTATGAGGGTCGCAGGCACACGGCTCGCAGCCCCGGCCACTGGCCAGCTTCCAGTGGTTGGGAGCACACTGGTCACACTTGGAGCCCACCACATTGGGCAAACACAGGCAGCGCCCCGTCTCCTCGTCACAGGGCATGTCTCGCTGGGCCCCCAGGATGCTGCAGTCACAGCCTGCCAGGGATGCCCCAAAACAGTTCAGCCCCTGGGAACACACGTCCAAGGAGGGGGCCCAGCCTGGGCAAAGCATGGGGCAGGTCCGCCCCTCTGGACAGCGGGGCTGACACACACAGCCACTGTGCCTTCCCAGCTGCTCATCACCCTCCCTGTACCTGGCTCCATCCCACCTTCCAACCCGGGCCTGTACTGCCACCTGCAGGAGGGTTGTGGCCCTGCACTTGGCGCTGGGGAAGACACAAATGCGGCCTCCAGGGAGCAACCACCTGACCCAGCCCTCTGCCGAGTCGAGGTCCTCTGCAGTGAGCACTCGAGTGGAGCGAGCCCAGGCCACCTGCAGCCTCCCCCGCGCCATGCCACATGGGGTGCCCCCTACTCACGGTGGCAGCCCTGAGGGTTGGTGTGAGTGAGTCCAGTGAAGCCCGGCTTGCACAGGTCGCAGCGCTCCCCCTGCACGTGCTCCTTGCACACGCACTGCCCCGTCACAGGGTCACAGGGTGCTCCGGGCACCGCCCCATCCGGGTCACACTCGCAGGCTGAGACAGGAAGGGCAAAAGGAAGCTGAGCACCCAGGCCACCATCAGGAACCAGCTGCCTGGTTCAAAGCCTGGCCCACCACCAGTGGCCAACCTCACAACCTCAGCCAGGTGCCTCTGTTCCCCATCTGTAAAGTGGGGAAATAACAGTCTTCATGACTTCTTTGGTGGCATAAATGACTCAGTAGCAAGCGGGTGGACTAGTACCCGGCACATGCTAAGTACTACGGAAGTATTTCTACTGTTGTTTCCAGGCAACTACTATAAGCCAAATCCTGAGCCAGTCCCTCTCCTGTGCTGTCCTTTGCAGTCCTCATGATAACCCTGAAAGGCTCATTCCACTTCTCTGAGTGTCATCCCCACTGCAAAGAGGGGAACTCGAGGCATGGAGATGTCAAAGAACGTCCTCAAGACCACATCACAAGTACCTGCCACACAGGTGAGTCAAGCCTGTCTCACTCCATAAACACATAATATCAGCAGGAAGTGACCCCCGCTGTCTCCTGTACCCGGGCCTTTCTGATGCCTTTGGAAATATAAGACTCTTTCATCACAGAATTCTTCCCCCGATTAAGCCTGCCTGCATCAGAGTGCGTCTGTTCAGCTTGCTCTCTCCTCCTGCACTCTGTGGCCTTGTGGGCAAAGTATGCTGCCTCTGAGGGTTCTGTTCCCTCGAGCTTGTGTATTCACTCTGCTTCTTTGAGTATCAGTGACATTGCAGTCACTGTGTTACGACCAGAGGATACGACATGATCCCTGTCTGGGTAAGAGTTCTCATTGGGAAGACAGAACAGCCACACTACAACATGCTAACAACAACCATAGCATGTGTACAATGACGTGCTCTCACCCCTCTGCTCGGCACATGGATTTTTTACCTAACCAAAGAATGTGAGCACCCCCTGCAGGCAGGGGCTGCATCTAATACTTAGTTTTCCTCACCTATGCCCAAGTTAAGAGCTGTATGTTCTGCAGTTGACTCATTAATGATCCAGGGAGTTAAGTGACTTGCTCAATTAAAAATTAAATGACTCCCACAAGTCCTGGCCACATGCAGGTCTTCAGCTCCCTGACGGCCTCTGTCTCACGCAGCCCCTACTCACGGATACAGGTCTCCTCGATGGGAGCACCAGGACGCCGGTTCCGGAAATAGTGCAGCTGACACCGCTCACAGTTCCTGCCCTCCGTGTGGTGCCGGCAATTGTCACACACACCTCCGTGTGCCCCTTGGCTGGCAGCAAACACAGCTGGGTCAAAGTGACAGGTCTCCGAGTGCCCGTTGCAATCACACCCTGGAAAAGGGGAGCCCAGCTGACATCTGGCCAGTACCTTTGCTACAGCTTCTCCTGTGAGCAGCTCAGCTCTGCGTGGTGCTTGGGGCAGGGAATGGGGAAACTGAGGCCAAGGGAGGCTCCTGTGGGTTATCCAAGGCTGCAGGACCAGGAAGAAACCAGTGTGGAAGGACAACCCAGGCCTCCAGACTCCCCACAGGGTAGCTCTGGAACGGTGGCTTCATTGGGCCAAAAGGAGACTATGGCCCATGGCCAGTCCGCCCAATCCTGCTAATCCTGGCTGCGTCTCTGCCTCTGTGGGCTACGCAGACAGTGCCCCCAACTCCAAGGGCCCATAGGAAGTAGGAAAAGGGACAGCAGGGAGCCAGAGAAGTCTGCATCAGGGTAGAGCAAGTGCAGGGGTGAGAAGGCTCTGGGTTACTGTGGAAGTGGGAGGCCAAGTCCTGGCCCCATCACAGCCAGCTCAGGGGCACAGGCAGCCCACTCTTCTCTGCCCATGAGCCAGCACGGCTTACACAGTGGGCTGCAGTTCAGCTTCTACTGAAATAATAACAGCAGATCCTCCCTGCAACCCAAGCAAGGTCAGGGAGACACCAAAGGGCCAGCAACAAGCGGTCACTACAGGGAAGGGTGGCCCCAGGGTCTTACTCTGGCACTCATGGCTATCCTGGTCCTCCGCTGGTCTCCAGGGCTGGTTGTTGTAGAAGGGGGCACAGCGTTCGCAGTGGGGGCCAGCAGTGTTGTGCTGGCAAACACAGACATCGTGGACCTGGGAGAGGGGCAGCAGGGCATCAGAAACACAAACAGAGGATGGCTGCAGGGATGGGCCCATGTCTCTCCCCAATCCTCCCGCCCACCACTCAGGGCCCGGCCCAGACGCCAGCCCTCTGAGGACGCCATTGCTGTATGTTTCAGCCTTCACCCCTCCCGTGACATGGTGACCGGCCTGTCTGCCTCGGCTCTGTGTGTGTGAGCACACGCACCTGTGTGCACATGTGTCTGTGTGCACGTGTGTGCATGTGCCCACATTGCTCCTTAGCAGGCATTTCACAAGCTCATCCCTTGCACCTGGACAGCCCGGGAAGGCCCTGTTCAGGGCGCACTACTTGTTAGTATACTGGGATTCTAGAAGCTCCTGGCCTCCCTGGAGATTTATTCTAGCAATCTATGACTAAGTTGCTTGGCTAATGGGGCTGTCAGGATGAACTGTTACTAGACTCATTAAGATATAAAAATAGAATACCTATTGTGTATTAATTGTTTTCCAAATTAAGCCAACACCCTCAGCTTAGCTCTCGAAGACCCACAGTGCATTCGCTCTAATCCCGTCTCCCACTCCCTGCCAACAGCTGCGCGTGGGGCTGAGTGCTACTCCCCACGCACCCGTTGCTGGCCCCCATCCTTTGAGCTTTCTGGTTTCCCTTCTCTATAGAATGCCCTTCTCCATTCACCAGCAAAACGCCACCTACAACTCCAGCTGGAATGGCCCCCACCTCTGAAGGGAAGGCCTCAAATTCCTCCTTACAATTAAAGGATGGAAGCACCTCACTGCCACGGTAGCACTTTTTAAAACACCAAAGCTCAAACTCCAGGGGGCCCAGGCCCCATGCTTTGGAGATGTGGTGACAGCACAGTGGGGTGGGATTGAAAGAGTGCCCACCTGCCGTGGCTCTACCTCCTCCTCCCCGCAGCCCACTGCTCAGCCTCCTCCCAGCTTGCAGCAGAAGGGCAGGTCCCCCAGGGGCAGATCCCTGTGCCCCTCACCACAGGCTCTCCTCTACCATGGTCCTCTCCAGGGTTTCTCGTCTGCCTCTATTTCATCCCTGCAGAGTTCCATGCCAGGCCTGAGTGGAACCTGGCATCCACCCTGACACCATCCCCTCAGGGCCCTGGTGGAGGAGCTGGCGGCATCCATGGACCAGGGGCTCTCAGCCCTGTAGTCAGAATCGCCTACTTCTTCAAAAGCCAGTAATAAAATCAGAGTATCTGAGGATGGAGGACCAAGGAAGTTCTTTTAGCTCTCAACAAAATTATAGTTTATAATAATATTTACATAATAATGTCATAAATTATAACATAATATTTACATACAATTGTAGATAAATATAATTTATAACAATTTATACATTATAAGTACAACGTGTAACCTAGTCTGGGTTGAGAAGCTATCCTTTAAACTACCCCCCAATGCTCAGACAAGTAACTGAAAATAAAACCATCCCCAACTCCAACCAGGCTTGAAGAAGGACTAGGCGCTTCTACTTTTGGGACTGACGGCCGCTTACATTCCTCTTCATTATTCTTGGAGTACTGAGCAGCCAAGTCTTGAACCCAGGGCCCTCCCTGCCCCTCGGGAGCCTCCATGGCAGTCTGTGCTCGACCCACCCCACCCTTGCTTCCCCACCCTGCGCCTTTACCTGCACGGCGGAGGGCGGGCCTGCTGTGGTGGCTCCGGGCTTGGGGGCGCAGCGGTCAGCGTGGCCGTGACAGAAGCAGGTGCCCTGCAGACGCAGCTGGGACACTGCGATGTAGGCGCTGGGGGGGTAGGAGCCCTTCCGGGGCACCGGAGCCAGCTTGGTGAAGTTGACTCTCAAGTTGGTGACGTCTCCCAACTCTGAGTGGGCCAGCAGCAAGGCAGGATGGGAGCAGAAGGAGAAATAAAGAACAGAAGTTGGAAGCCAATAGAATCTCACGGGATAGGGACGGCACTGTCCAGCCCTTGGTGTTGCCCTCACAGTACCCTAGGCCCACCCTCCCCAGCCCCTGACCTCACAGCCCCTACAGTTTCCCTGTGGGGTAAGCAAGGCAGGCTCTAAACCCCAAATAGGTTGGAAAAACAGGAGAGAACAGGAAATTCCTGTGACCCAGGCTCCAACTTGTTTGACTCCCTTCTTACAGTCCCGTGGGCAGAAGAATAGCCGCACAAACCTCGAATTTTTTGACTTTGAGTCGCTGGAATCCCAGATGCTAAATCCATGAGGTTAAGCTGGACCTATACAGAGAGGGGGGTGGGAAACCAAAGAAGAGGTAAGTAGTGCATCCCCCTCACATGAAGCCTCCCCTTCCAGCCCACGCCCATCCTCCCCACTCTAACAGCTTCCTACATAGACCTAGGATGGGCTGGGGCGAGGCTTCCCCCTGCCCTGGTGAGCCAGGCAACCACTGGGCCTTTCGGGGCATGTCTGTCTGTGTGTGTCTGTGTGTCTGTGTGTCTGTGTGTGTTTGTACGTCTATATCTGTGTACAACTTCTGTTCTCTGAACATACAGGTGTTGCAAGAATTTCCCAATTTTCTTGGGTCAAACATTACAGCAAGATATATAATCTACACAGGCAGGTCTAGGAGACAGGAACTTTCCAGGGCCCCAAGATGAATGAAGGGATCTAGAACCCAAGAGCGTGTGGATGGGGTAACCACAGCCTCAGCAACCTCAATGTCAGTGAGGCCTTTCTTGTGCAATGGAAGTCTTTCATTAGATGTGACTTCTCTTGCATATCCCTGGAGGTTTTGACATCAGCACTGCACAAATCAGAAGGAAGTCCTGGGCCCTGATTTCGACTTGGTTCAGGATGTAACCAAAGTGAATGGTCCCACCCAAAGGCAGGACAGGGTTTGCCCCAGGGAGGGCAGCACTCAAGCACCCATGCAGAGAGCAGCTCAGGCTCACTGTGGTCCTCGGCCAGGAGAAGAAGGAGAGAAACCACAGTCTCCTCTGCCAGGGGGCAGGGAGGCAATCAGGGGAGGACTGGACACACTCTGGGAGGGTTTGGCTAGAAGCTCTCTGGGTGTCCCCGAGATCTCATTCCAGGCTGAGGGTTTAAGTTCAGGTAACCTGGGACTCTGGGTTATGAATTTCCCTCCAAGGACTACAACTGGGCTAGATGAGTAAATTAAACCAAAAAAGTCATTTTTGGGTTTAATGTTATCAACATAAATATAAATCTTTGCACTTTGCTCACTGGCACATAACTAGTCACCCCCAAGTCCTCACTCTGGAGTAAAGTCCGTCTTACCCTCCACAGGGCAATGTGCTACGGAGCCTCCCAGGAGGAGGAGGGCAGGGCTGGCAAGCAAGGGCAGCTGGCCAAGGGTGTTTTTTCCTCTTTCCAAGCATCCTGTGGCTCTGAACCAGGGACACAGTGACTTTGCACAGGCCCCCTCTTCAGGGTCCCCTCTACTTACCTTCCCACCATTTAGGTGCCCATTAGTCCTCTGGGGCAGGGCCTGGCACCGTGCATCCCTCCAGTTCTGGGGCTGGCCCTGGTGGACCCGAGGGAAGGCAGAGCCGCAGTCAGCAGCCAGGTACTGGTACACCCGCCAGGTCCTGCCAAAGTCTGAGGAGCGCTCGATCAGCATGCCAGCAGGCACAGGCCCCTGCAGAGACAAGTGGGCCCTGAGTGACTGGAGGGAAGGGAGGTATGTGCTGTACCTGTGGGGACACAATCACAGAAAGCAGCTCCTCCAAGTTGGAGGGAGAAGGAGGCCCAGCAGGACCAAGTGGTTCAATCTTTCTGGCAGGTTCAAACCACAGGCCTCAGCAGTTTGTCCCCAGGATAACTGTGGAAAGCAGTGGAAATGAAATCCCCTCCACGATGGCCATCTATGGCCCAGTTCAGGCTGTGGTAATGCTGAACTTGAATCATTGCCAGAGTCTGGAAATATCCAGACTGCAGGCCACTGTCCCACTTCACAGAGAAATCTTCCTGAGTGCTTATCTAATCATGACATCCTTCAACCCATCTGCGTTGTCCCACAGATAAAATGCAAGCTCTTCATGTGACCCTGTGTCCGCTCCTTCCCTGGGTGATGCCATCCATTTCTTCTTAGCTTGTACCACTCATTTCCTTGCCCTTCAGCTCAGAAACCCTGACCTCCAAAGCAAACCCCAAATCAGGCCATCTCTCGAGCTGCGGCAACACCTCCTATGCACCTCCACCCTTTCCTAGTAGGCTCCACCTGATTTCCCCTTGTTCACTCTCACCTAGGTCACACCAGCCACCATACAAAGAGCCTTCTACGTAAAATATAATATGGACTGTATCACTATTCTGCTAAAATTCCTCTAACTCACTGTGAGGCACAGCCAACAAGGGCATGGGGATGGAACTGTCAAAGCCTTTGGTGACCCACATCATCCTGTGCCCTAGTGTTGGGCAAGGAGCTATACAACTTAATGTTTGCCTTTCAGGGTTTCAGTCTCGCCTCTCTCTGATCCTATTCCTCACTTTTGGAATGAAAGTGTTTACCCTATGTCTGCCCACAACTGTGTTCTGGAGGCATGTAATAGTTTCAAATTTTTTACAAGGGCTCACAGCTAAGAGTTTGCCTTGAGTCTCAGAGAATATTTGGACTTTTGAGCAATGTTGAAACCTTTAAGACTTTGGGAACTCTTGGAGGTGGACTGAATGTATTTTGCATCATGAGATGGACATGATTATTTGGGGGACAGAGACAGAATGGTATGGTTTGGATAATGTTATGGTTTGTATCAATGTCTCCACCAAAGCCTCATGCACTCATCGGTGGGGCTTTTGAGAGGTGGCTGGATCATGAGTGTGTGATACTGAGCTGTAGGTGTGTGATAACTGGATTACTACACTGATGGGTTTAGCATATTTCTGGGTGTGAATAATGGGAAGGCCCACTTTCGGTGTGGATAGCACCAACCAATAGGCTTATAGTCTGAATGGAATAAAAAGGGAAAGAAAGGCTTGTGGCTTGCTAATTCCTGCATGCCACACCACAGACTGTTTCTCTTCTGCCATGTCTCCCTACCTTGTATCCAGCCAACTATGGACTGAAACAAATTGAGCTGAAATAAACCTTTCTTCCTTTATTTGGCTGGTGTCAGATATTTTGTCCCAGCAACGAGAAAAATAACTAAGACAAAATTTAAATATCCCCAAAAGTTCAACTGTTGAAGGCCTGGTCCCCAGCTGATAGCACTATTGGGAGGTAATAAAAACTCAAGGAGGTGGGGCCTAGTTACAAGAAGTAGTAGGTCATTGGGGGTATGCCCTTGAAGGGTACACTGGAACAATGGCCCCTTCCTCTCTGTCTTTTTTCACTTCTAGGCTGCCATTATATGAGTAGCTATGTTCCATCACATGTTCTCCACCATTATATTCATCCCTGCCACAAGACAATGACAAAGCCAAGTGACCATGGACTGAATCTCTGAAACTGTAAACCAAAATAAATCTTTCTCATTTTTATGTTGATTATCTCAGATACTCTGTCAGTGGTAGAAAGTTGACTAACATACCCACTATTATAACTTGGATCTAGAGTGTCTGCTGAAAGCCCATTATATTGAAGGTGTGGTCCCCAGATAGTGGTGCTACTGGAAACTTTAGGAGGTAGGACCAGGTTGAAAGAGGTGGGTCACTAGAGATGTATCTTTGAAAGGTATATTCTGTCCTTGGATTGACTATCTCCCTTCCTGGCTGCTATGATGTAACCAGCATTGCTCCATCACACACTGCCATGATGTTCAGCCTCATCTCCAGCCCAAAGTGCCATGGACTGAAACCTCTGAAATCATAAGCCAATGTAAAGCCTCCCTTCTTTAATAAGGTTTAATGACCAGGAAAGGTTTATGACTTCAGAAGTTAAAATGAGATTGGAGAATAGATAACAGGAGCTAATTTCTTACATGACTGAAGAAGCTAGCACTAAGAGCCATGTTCTACAAAATGGCCAAAAGGGTTTTGATAAATTCCAGCATCATTTGAACAGATGTCTCCAAGTTTCTAAAAGTGACAGTTTTAAAGGGTGACATTTATTTGGATATTGTTAAATAGTTTTGTTGCTTTATTATCATTCACCCCTCTATTAGTGCTTGCCACATGCAGATTAAGCACTGATAACACGTTAAGCTTGATGTCAGATGTTACAGACAGAAATATGAGTAAAATCAAACCAACTAGCCTCAAGGTGCTTTTACCATATTTAAGGAAGGCAGAGACCCAGGAATGACAGTGTGTCAGATGCTGTACTGTGGGTGAGAAGAGGTGCTGACGAGCATGGGAGGGGGCATCTAGCGAGGTCTGCCTTGAGTGGGGTGTATCAAAGAATGCACCCAGACCAGTGATACACAGGTAAGGTCACTGTCCATTTCAAGCAGATTGAGCAGCCAGTGCAAAGGCCAGGAGGCAAGAAGCAAGTCAGCAAATAATTGGGCGAGGCAAAGGAATGCACACAAGTCCGGACAGTAGAATGTGTTCCTGGCTAGGAGAAATGCACTTATAGATGTGAGTACGCAGAGGAGCCCAAACTAAAGAGGTGCCATTTATTCAGCCAGTATAGACTCCGTAACTGCTGTGTACTAGATGCTGGGGTACAGCTGTGAGCAAGACCAGCAAGAAGGCCTAGGATCTGGTGACCGCTTGAATTTTTTAAAATTCCAATAAACGTCCTGCTGTCATTAATCCCCCTCGACACACTCTGCCTCACTTCAAATACTTATGCCATTGTTCTTGAAACTTTTTAAAGCAGTCCAGGAGGTCCTCTTTCATGAGCATCTTTAGCTGCACTGTCAAGGTTGCCTCAGTGTCTAGGATCAACTCAAAATGTTTACCTTTTATGGTCATATTGCCTTTAGGGTAGAACCAGAAGTCACATAGTGCCAGATCTAGTGAGTAAGGTAGATGAGGACACACTGTAATGTTTTTAATTGTAGAAATTGCCTTAAATGTTTTGAATCAATTCAGGGCACCAAGGCTGCCACAATTGTCTAACTGAAGACATGAAGGAGGAGTTCCAGAACTGCTTCAGATGTGACAAGAATAAAGCAACAGGGAGTACTTCAAGGGGATTAATGGCAATGGAATTATCTTTTAGTGATCACATCTTTTATCATAAGTTAAATTTAGACATTCACTATATTATTTGATCACACCTCATATGTAAGAATACACAATTGCATAACAAGGAACCAGGCCCAGTAGAATTGGTACTTGGCAAGCTGAATTCATTAGATGGGTTGAGGGTGAGGGATGCCAAGAAGAAGAGGCTATACAGCAATGGCAGGACCAAAACAGGGAGCTAGAAGGTAGCACATTCTCCCCGGAGCCAGTCCTCTGCTGTCCCAGCTGGGGAGGAGGCCTGCCCAGAATGTGGTACCTTAACCCAGCCTGGGGCAACAAGAACACTACTCCTCCACAGCCTGAGCCCACAGGGCCAAGGGTCCTTCACCACCATCGTACCTTAAAATCCATCATGATGCCTTGAAGCTGAAGCCTCCTGTCTAGGTCCAGCTGCAGAGAGACAGGGATCACATCTGCAAGGACAAAAGTAGAAGCTTTAGGCCAAAGATTCCCCATCTTCCCAGCCCTACAGACGGCTCTGGACTGACTCACTGTAGGAAGCTTAAAACTCTCCAACCTTGGTGCTCTAACTTCCCCCGAGAGAGGAGTGGACCAGTATGTCTGTTCTTAGACCATCTATTAAACACCCATGTCTGTTTTTGCCATATTTTCTTCCCACTATCACCTGATGCCTCTAATACCTGGAGCAGTTCAACTTACTCTTTTGACACAGATCTTTTCCCAAAGCTCAATTCCTTCCATATGCCCATGCACCAAAAGTAAGTACAGTGAAATAAAGGCAGTCCTCTCTCCTTTCACCCTTCCTCAGCCTCGATAGACTTTTCTGCCTATAGCATCCAACAGACCCCAAACGTGAAGCTGGGAGGTTCTGTCTGTCGCCCTCTCACACCCCACTACCACATGACATGCCAGGAAACCCAGGGTTCCTCAGCACCTCCATCCTCCGCACCCTGTGGAGCCCACAGTTTTGGTAGGTGGTGGTCCTCACCATTCTGTGACTGCCACCAGCGCATGGGGCCTGAGGAGGACGCAACATTCTCCACTCGGTGACTGTTGTAGTTGTGAGGCAGCCTGGAGTCGCACTTGCAGCATTTCATCTGCCACTGCGGAGAGAAGACAGGCTCAGGGGCAGGGCCCTCACAGACTTCTCCCCATGTCCTGAGAGGTCTGACCCCTGGGCACAATCTCAGTAATACCCTTGGAAAGATGCCCCTCTTAACCAGGGCTAGTGGCCATCTTTTCATGTAATTTCTCTGTCTCTCCTGCATACAGCAAGGGAATAGCTAATAGATATTTACTATTTATTTATTGTGGAAGAAGAAACATGGCAGGAAAATCACCCTAGCACATGAGACTGCCTTGAGGCAAAACTGAAGGAGGAGGCTAAGGGCAAGGAGAAGAAAGGGGAGAAGCCCACCCAACTGATTGCCCACAGCCTGTGACACACCAGCCAGAAAGCTTTACATCTTCATTCTCCCAGCAGCCTGGGGAGTACTGGGTTTTTGAGGACTAAGGAGAGGGGACAACTAAAGAAGAAAAGGGCACTGAGGGTTCCAGTATCAGCTGCACCACCCCAACTCTTAGGGTCAAAGTTTTCTTCTATACACTGAAGGCTGGACTCGAGTCACTCATCCACCCCACAACCGTGCTTGCTGGACATGTGCTGTGTGACACACACGGCCCTGGCCCTGGAGCTGGAGGGATGAGTGAAAGAGAGCCCCAGGCAGACATGTGATGACATGAGATGACCCACAAGGCGTCCAGCTCAGACTCCACCTGGGACCTCAGGGTCTTTCCAGACTCAGGAACCAGGTCCACAGGAGAGACACAGCCATCCCAGGGAGGGCCAAGCACACAGGCAGTGAGCCACACCTTCCCTGGCCTGTGCCCATGCCTTGGAGTGAGACAGGGTCTCAAGTGGAGCCACAGGCCCTGTAGCAGCAAGGACCACCAAGACAAGGAACATGGCAGAGAGGCCTCCTGCCCCTCGTTCTTTAAATTCACGCATATGTACACACCCACACATTCACACACACAGCACAGACTGGGCATGACCCTGTCCCAGCGCTCCATGCCCTACGTACAACATCTGTTTCCTCCAAGGAACCAGGATGCTGAGACCTGTGCCCAGGCGCTACAGACTCAGTCACAACGGAAAGCTCAGCTTCAACAAGCACCTCCCTGACCTAGTGCCCTCGGGCTGGGACAACTGGATCACCACATCAGCAGGCCTCTGCTTTCTCCTAAACATTGTCTCCCCAGAACCAAGAAGGAGCTCTGATGTCCCTCAAACCCTGCTGTGTCCAGGAAAGGCTATGAGCTCTCTGGGCTGATGTCCTAGAATGTGCGGGGCACCCGAATGGGATGGATGAACCTGACAGGTCAGCTCCAAAGACACTGCATGAACGTGCTGGGCCTGTGCACACTCATCGTGCCCAAAAATGCCTTACTGAGCAGTGATCCTTACTACACACTGCTTAACGCTCAGAAAACAGCTCTGGACTATATAAACTAGAGCCCACTGCCCACTGCCTTCTTCCCTGTCCCTGTCCCTATCCCCGACATTCACTTGCCCTGCTATATTTTTCTTCATAGTGACTTCTCCACTTGAGGTATTGGGACTTTTGTCTGCTTGTTTGTGTATTATGTGCCTCCCTGCTGCCAGAATGTACACTACTTGAAGGCGGGAGCTTGTCTCCCTTCACCGCTGTATTCTGGTGCTTGGAACAGGGTACTGCTCTGCCCTAAAGAACGATAAACTGAAGGCATCTGCAGGCAAATGGATGTGCCTTGAGACCACAATATTAAGTGAAATAAGCCAGATGCACGAGCTTAAATGTTGCATGTTTTCTCTTATGAGAAACTAATATAGAGATATAAAACAGAAAATAGGAGGCGAAGAGATGTTTTTCAAATGGCTGGAAGAACGCGTGACAGAGCGGGGAGGGAAGGCAGGGAATAGGATGAAAAAAAGAGAATTGAAGAAAAAACTAATGAAAACAGCTTTTCCAAATAAGGAAGTGGAACAAGAGTTGAAAGGAGTACAGAGTTGAGGAGCAGAATAAAAGAAGTAAGATGTGTTATGTCTGTGTGCCGACTCCCCACATAAGTGTAACCATCGTTTACTGCTCACATGTCCTTAAAAAGGGAAAAAGAGAAGGGCCCAGCACATAGTACTCACTAAGCGCCTGTTCATAAATGAATGAATAGTGAATGTTCAAAAAAATGCCACTTATTTTCATTAACATATTGCCTGACATTTGAATCCTACACTGGGGGAGTTTTTATTATTATTATTTTTTTTTTTTGGTTTTTCTCCGGTACCGGGAACCGAACTCACGACCTTGCGCTTGCCAGGCAGGCGCTTTTGCCGCTGAGCTAAATCCCCAGCCCCTTGGGGGAGTTTTTAAAGCGGGAGTGAGGAGGATCCAGCATCAACACCAAGTGACAGCGTGCCTGCCACATCCCAGGCACCATGTGAGGTAACTTCAACACAGTAACCTGTTTGTACTTCACAATCACCTTATGTGATAATAGTGTCATCCCACTTGACGGATGAAAGAGCTGAGGCTCAAAGAGGTGGCAGGACTTTCCTACTGGCTGACCACCAATGCCAGCCCCAGAGTGGGGTCCTTCCCACCTGCCTCTCCCATCTCCCTGTGTCTGTCTCTCTCTGTCTGGCTGTCTCTCTCCTGCCCCATCTCTGCCCCGCCTCCTTCCCTCTTATCCTCTCATTTCTGCTCAGACATCAGTGGAAGGGCAGACCTGCTGAGGAGCATGGTAGAAAGCGACCATCTCTCTCTTGCCCAGTGGGTCTCGAGGCAGGCTTATTAGCTAATCATGGGGTAGCTAAGGCACACAAAAACTTTGGGAGGATATCTGGCTTCCCCAGCTAACCCAGCTCAGTGACACACAGACTGTAGATGCATCACTGGCTGAAACACGTGGGCACTTAACAAGACCCTTTCTGGGCAAGAGAAGGCTCTCCTCTAGAGCTCTGCTCTGCACTCTGCCCAGCCTCTCAAGGGCAAAGTTTTCCATTCCTCACCCTGTCTGCACTCAGCCCGAGGAGAGATGAGGGCCAGCTGCCTTCCAGCAGATGCCCTGTTGCCAGAGATCCCCGCCCTACTCCCTCTCTGCTGGGAGCTGATCCCAGGCACCCCTGGCTGGGAGATGGGCAGAAATAAGGCTCTTTCTTCCCCTGGGTCATGGGACAAGGTGCTAGAAACTGTGGAAATGTCCTCGATACTCCCAAATGATGGACTATTATGTAACTACTAAAAATACTTCAGAGGAAAAATTTAATTGCACCGGGAAATGATTACATTATAATATTTTAGGGGGGAAAAGTTGGGCATAAGTTTATATATACATTAAGATATCAAATATATACAGTATTTTAAAGGAACAGAAAATGTTTGGGAGGAACTCTACCAACACATTAGGTGAAACCCTGTAAAACTGTTGATATTTACCTATGTTGGCCTACAAACGTGGGAACTACATACAGTTCCACCTAATTATCTCTGGGTAATAGGCCCTTAAGCGGGGACTTTTCCTTCTTTGTTATCTTTTAATATGCTTAAACTTTTCTACCTCAGACATGTGAAGTTTCATACTCAGGATAATAAAACAAAATATGATGTCCAGGGTGTATGGCGTGGGCTGGTTACCTTCCCTCTGTCCATCTTCACAGAGTCCGGGTGCTGCACGCCTCCTCCACCCTCTGTTCACGCACACAGGCACTGCTAGCCAAGTCAGATGGCCTCGCAGGCTTGAGAACTACGTGCTGCTTATCACAGTTCCACAGCTACAGGGTGGATTTGGCTCAAGCCTCATGGGCAGGCTAAGCCAACAGGCTCAAGCCAGGTATTTTAAGTAGCTCTGCTTGTCAGCTAGCCAGCAGGCAGAGGTCTGAAATAGGGCAGCAGTGGTAGAAGCCCAGGTAGACAACCTGCACGTGTCTTCTTTCTCTCTGGGCCTCTCTAACCTATTCATGTATGTTTACATGTAGCGTGCGCACGGGTGCACGGGTGTGCATGCGTCTGGATCTCAGGGTGAGGTTCTTTCTCCTCTCTGTGTTGCGTGCCTCCCTGCAGAAGGCACTGCCCGCTGCTCTGGGCCCATGGGCCAGGACTCCCTGGCCTCTGCTCTCTCTGAGATGCAGCATCATCATCAGTGCAGCCAGTTAGGCCTCCAGCCAGTTTGGCTCCTACTTGCTCTCCAGCTGAAAAGGCTGGGCCGTCTCCTTTCTGCTAGAGCTGAAGACAAACCCTACCAGTGAGTAAGGGGCGGGCAGAGGAGTGGGCAAAAGCCAGCAGGAGCCTGAATCATAGCAGAAAGTGTTGGAAAAAGAAGACACATGCAAGTACAAGTTCTGTGTTTCTGCAAAACACAGAGCTCATTCTGGAGGAAACAGGAAAACGGACTTTTGTTATACACGGCACAGTTCCCTCCTAGGAGTGCGCTGTGGCTTCTTGTGTCCATCCAAGAAGCTACAGTCAGAGTCACAGCCACCAATGAGGGCCAACAAAAGGAAGAACCAAAGCAAACAAAATCCAGCCACCTTCAAGAAAAGACACTTCCTCCACCTCGTTTTCCTCAAGGGTAAAACGCAGGGTGGTGAGACAATGAGGTCGCATCTTGCTCTAACATGCAATTAAAATTCTGCCCACCCAGCTAATCAGCCCAGAAGTTAAAAGCACTCCCAGCAAGTATACAAAGGACTTAACCACTGAGACAGACTGGGCCAGAGGAAGAAACATGCAGACAGGCTGAGGCCAGCCTGCATAGGAGCCACCCCTCGGTAGTCAGGAGCTAGAAGAGACAATGTGGAGCAGGAAAGAGCCCCCACGCTCAGGCAGCTGCTCTCTGCCCAGACGGGCTGGGGCAGGGTCAGGAGGGTAAGTGAGCAAGACAGAAACGTCTCGGGACTCTCAGCCCCACTGCACTCGGCCTTGTGCCACATTGGCAGCAGGTTCTGGGTGATGCCGGCAGCTCAGAGCTCGAATGTCACCCTAGAGCGGAACTAGAACAGGACACTAAGAGGAGACCTTGACCCCAGAAAGCTGTGTACTTGGGGATGGGGGCCAGCAAAGGAAGGGGGCCCAGGGATGCAGCTCCATCTCAAGCTACGCTCCATGCAGCCAGGCTGCCCAGTGTGCCTCCCAGTCTAATTGCTCAGAAGACTCAACACCCGTGAGCTTCCACCAGGAGCTTGGGGTCTGCACACCCTGGACCTCCCAAGAGCTCATGGGAAAAAACAGGCACACCTCGTGGGGTACTGTGACAACCAAGACATATATTTATACACACACACACACACACACACACACACGCACACACACAAGCACACACGCACTTTTAATATGACGCTTAGGATACAAAACAATGTGCTTAACACATAACAATTACTATTAGTCTCATTTTAGAACAAAATATACCAGGTGTGATGCCTATCGTCCCAGCTTCTCAGGAGATGGAGGCAGGAGGACCTCAAGTTTGAGGCCAGACTGAGCAACTTAGCTGAGACCCAATATAAAAAACAAATAAATAAGAACAAAGTAAATCTAGAGGGTGAAATTGGAACGCCACACAGTTATGACCCAAATTCCTAATTTGTGCCACACAGGCCAGGCACAGTCACGTTGCCTCAGACAGGGTTCAAGGACAGGAAGGGAGGGAAGGCAGGAGACAGAAGCACACTGTCAGCAATCAGCTCATTCCCAAAGACTGCAGCGGCAAAGGAGAGACCCTACAGACCACCCTACCGATCCTCATTCACAGAAGAGGACAGTGAGCCTCAGACAGAGAGTTCTTCTGCCCAAGGTCACACCACACGTTAGTAGTAGACCCAGTCACACACCACCCTCAGGATGGCCCCAACTCTTGCTCTTTCCAAAAGGCTACCTGGATGTGTTTCCCCTTATATGAAAAAAGAAAAAAAAAGCCAATGTGTCTCAGCTTTCATAGGAGAAAAATAGCCAAGATTTATCCATCCGCAGGGTTGCAAAAGTCTAGACTTCTGTTTTGCAAGCACCCTGTTTTACTCTCAGGGCTGCTTTCAAGCAGGGAAGGCAGTGGGCTCCCTGGGGCATCTGAGAGAGGCGGAGGGCAGGCTGGGAAGAACCAGAAGCGTGGCCTAGTGGAGGAGAGGCGGTGCACATAGAGCTGGGAGTGGGCTGCACCTGAGGGGGCTCTGAGTTCTCCTCACTTCCTCTCTAAGTCAGGCTGGGGCCAAGAACCAGCAGTGGTCTGCCCAGAACAGCAGGGCTCACTGGCCTCGGTCTGGGTGTACGCAGGAAGGGGGCAGCTGAAATTACTCTGTTGCCAGAAAGCTCAACACGGCCAAGTCCCCTGACGTGTGGAGTAATGTAGGACCCCAGGGAGTCCTTGCCTTACCCAACCCTGTCAAATGGGTCTCCCCATATCCAAGTGGGTGAGGGGCAGAAACCACCGCCACTCTACTCTGCATCTCCAAAGACACTAGTCAGTGCTATCTGTGATTAAAAATAGCAAAGAGAATGCTGGGGGGTGGGGATGACACCAGGGCCAGAGAAGGCCCAACACCCCCTTTGGGCCCCAGGGACAAGGGCAGCCTGGAAAGGCCAAGCCACAGACAGCCCAAGTCCCCCCAACACTCAGTCTCCCTCACTAGCTTTCTTTCCCTTTGTCTCTTCCCCCAAAGGCTGCAGGGTGTCGAGCCAAGCACTCCTCAGCCAGTCCCTGAGCAAGCCTGCTCTGAGGGGAGCAAGGTCGCCCAGGAGGCAACCAGGAGGTGAAAAACAGCCACTCCTCAGCCAGTCCCTGAGCAAGCCTGCTCTGAGGGGAGCAAGGTCGCCCAGGAGGCAACCAGGAGGTGAAAAACAGCCAGTGGCTTCATCTGTGGTAAACACAAGGAGTAAAGGACCCCACCTTGTCAAAAGGGAAAAGAAAAGAAAATCAAAGTTCCTGCACAAACAGTTCAGAGGCAATGAGAAGGAAAAAGTATACAGTTCTTTGAAAAAGCCAAGCAATTTTAATCAAAATAGATCCCAGCACTGAGCTCCTAGATGCATTCAGTTCCTTTTCAACCCACGTTTCTGACCCTCCCTGATAACCTACAGTCCCTGCATCACTTGTCCCACTGACCTGTGTCCTTCACCAATGTGACTGTGTCCTCTTTGCCTGGGTTGGTGAAACGTGTGAGCCACCAAGGCTGGCAGATAAACAAAGTCGGCTCTTTACAGGTGACAGGGGCCAAACACAGAAGATAAACTCGAGCCTAAGTCATATATTGTCCTGCGTGTTCTGCCCCACCATTCTCCAAGACAGTCAAACAGAGGGTGGCGGTAGAGGGGCGTGGCACACTCGGGTCAGCCAATGCACACGGCCCAGCTCCCGTGCTCCAAACCTCAGCTTTGCCATCAAAGAGGCACATCAGACCCTGCACACTTAGGAGACTGATATTTGTCCCTCTGCCTATTTCTAAGACTTAGAAGCCCATCCTTTGCCACTGGCTATGCAAGAGCTGAGAGCAGGCCCCAGCTTTACCCAGAGAAAGAGAGAAAGGAGCTGTTCAGTGAATTCTAAGTTAATTTCTCTTGCTCTATCAACATGTAAACTCCGTGAGGCAGGAATCTGGCTTTATACTTTCCTTGCTGCAGCCCCCTCATGCATAGGGCTTGTCGTATACCAATTACGCTTTAAGTATTCTATGAATAAAGAGCAGGCTTGCCCACCCCGCCCCATCCCACCCTTCTGCAGCCCTGGAGGCCATGGTCAAAGGGCCTACCTCTCCATGCTGAGTGCAGTAGGTCTCAGGCTTGGTCAGCCCACAGGTGGATGAAGCTTGGAGGAACTGGGTCCTCCCAATGAGCAAGTCTCCGACAGGCGGGTAGCAGGCCCCCCGGGAGCAGGCTCTTTGGGCACGCAGGAGGACAGGCAAGGCTGAAATCACAAGGGGGTACTGTGGGGGCAGCCCAGAGAGAGGAGGATCTAACAGGCACCCGACAGCCCTGGGAGACCTGGCCGTATGGGAGGACTGGACCTTCTTAATTCATGCTCCCACTCCCAGTTGGTAGGCGTAAATGCAGTCCTGATACTGCTGGGTGAGGAAGTTTGATCTTCTCCTCTAACATCAAACTTAAAAAGGAGAGAAGAAACATTCACAACCAAAAACTACACATGGTCCTGAAATGTGGCATCTACATGTGGCTTTCAGAGTCAAGTCAGAGACACACGGAGTCCACAGGATGCGGCCTACGGCCTTTTCACCTGCAGAGTGTCCTCTGCACAGCCTGGAGGGCTGACATGGGCTGATGCAGGGCCATTTGTGGAACACTGGAGGGGTTCTCTCTACTGCTTTATCTGCAAAGCTGGCCCAGCCATGGTTTGGAAGTACCCAGCTGCTGTCCAGTGGGAAGTGGAGAACTCTAGCCACAGAAACAGCAGGAGAGAGATGCTGGGAATATCACAGTGTAGAGCACTCAGAAACCACCAGCCACCCACGGACAGAGTAGGAAGATGTGAGAGGCAGAGAACCCTCTGCCCATGGGCCCAAAGGAGTGGGGAACCCTAACATGTAGCCCCACTGGACAAGTGCTCCAAACCTTAGGGATGACAGGTGCTGCTCACACTTCAGTAAACTCCTACCTCTGGTCATCACCTCCCTGCAATATAACAGGTTGTGGAGAATGGGAAGGGACACTCACCGAAACACAGGAGGAGGAGTGCCCTCATCATCAGCAAATGGGGTGATTCTCACAGAAGGCCTTCACCTGGGACAGAGCAAAGCAGCCTGGGTAAGACAATGCATTCACCCCTTTCCTTTTCTGCTTCTGGCTTCACATGTTCTCCAGAGTCTTTACCTAGTTACCCAGGGACTGAAGCCACTCCCAAGTAGCAAGTGCATGTGTAGACCCCCATCCCCATCTCGGCTAGCACGCCACTCAGATATCTCCTCCCAGGCTTCAGCTTTGTCCTCTGAAATGGATGGGAACCCCGTCCACCCCACAGGCCCCAAGGACAACACGAAGAGATGGAAGGGGTAGGGTCCTTTGCAGGAGAAGAGCTGCATGGAGGCCCAAAGGCTCATTTCAGCAGCCTCAGCCCAGCCCACAGGCCCCAAAGTGAAAGGCTGGCATGGCTGAGGGCCTGAGGCAAGCTCTTTCCTGCCATCCAAAAGTCTCCAGTGTCGCCCAGGGCTCCATGGACATTGAGGCTGTGCTGACCGCAAGTCCAGGCTAAGCAGGTAGCTAGGATGCAGGAGGGAGAGAGACAGAACTGGCAGTTTTAAGAAAAGTGAGAGATGATTTCATCTGAACTAAAAGCAGCCCAAAATGTCTCCAATTATGAGCCAGGATTCTGAAGGGAGCTGGAAATGGAGGCTTAAAAGCCACATCCTGGGTTGGAGGCAGACAAACTCCAGGTCTGCTCTTACACTGTGCCTCTGCCCAACGGGACGCCAGCTCTGCCCCAGGAGAGAAACACACTCCCTTGGCTGAGGGGCAGGAGTGGGGTTAACAGGGCAGGGACAGAGCTGTGTCTGCGAGCATTTCTGGCACCTTTAATCCTAATGCTTCAAAACCCCTCCATCCAATATACCCCTAGGAGAGGCAAGAGTCCAGCTTGGGGACCGTGGCCCTGAGGTCCTGTGGCTGGCAATGGCCTAAGAGACAGACTCACCTCCTGATTTCCATCTCCAGCACGCTCTCTGCACTCCCAAGCCTGGGCTGGAAACTCCCCCAACAGGCCCTCCCAGCCAGGCCAGCTCCCTGCCCCACTTCTCTTTTGTGCTCACCCCGATCTGAAAGTGCTTTCTTCTAAGTCACTGAGCACTTATGAAACAGGAAAAAGCAATCCAAACACTCACCCAGTTCACAGGTGAGGTCACTCCGGGGAGCTCCTAGGACCAAGAATGAATCTGGCCCTGCCCTGAGGCCCCAGGCACCTGAGGCCAGCCCTTCTCCCTGCCTGGCCCTCAGGGCAGACAAAGGCAGGTAAAGCACCTTGTACCTTGCCCGCACTGCTGCTGCTCCTTCTCCGGCGGCTTCTCGAGAGCTCCCTTGAAATGTGGGGGTCTCCTCTCTTGGCTCTCAGGTTTTAAACAACAACTTCAGCTCTGGAGACTCCCTGGCTGGGCGTAGCCCCACAGCAGGCGGGCCTCAGGAGGCTGGCAGCCACCACGCCCATCTGCCGTCACTGCACCCCACCCCAGGCGGGACTGGGCAAGTGGGCCATCCCGGGAGGCTGTGAAGCAAGCTCCACGGTGTCCACCTGCCAGTAGGTGCCCGGAGGGCTGGAGTGGGCCGCTGCAAACAGAAAGCACAGGCAAATCTCAGTGTCGATCAGAAAGCAGGTTCGGGGGACTGGCATTGCTACCAGGCACGGCACTTGGCGCTGTCTCAAGGTCAGGAGGGGTCAGCTTCCCTCCAGTGTCCTGGACCACCATGGGCAGATCAAGCAGAGGCACAAAGGCCAGAGCCTGTACACAGTGAAGCCCCACCTATGCCAGTGGCCTGGAACGTGAGGCCCAAATGTCCAGAAGTCTGGAAAGTACCAGACCCCTCTGCAGGAGAAAAAAATGGAAGATCCTGGGTTCTCGGGGAATTTGGAGGATGAGTAAATGGATCAGGAAGGGGCTCAAAGCTCACCTCACCCCAAGGAAGTTTGACAGGAATGAACAGAGGAGCTCAGCTCGGAGGGTTGGCAGGCAGCCCGAGGACAGGTAACTGCCTGTGAGTCACGGCCCAGCTGCTGGCGGGCTGGACTCCCAGCCCCACCCTCCTGGGCAGGAATGCCTGACCGGAGGGCCGGAAAACAGCCCTGACCGCAAGTGGCAGAGGTGAGGCTGAGGCACAGCTGGACTAAGAAAGTCACAGCAGCCTCCGGCCAGTACCCCAACAGCCCCAAGAACACAGCTCCCCTTGTGGGACCCCAGGCGGCTCCTGGCCCTGCACTGAGAGCCCCCACACAGGGCAGAAACAGGTCCGGTTTACTGGTGCGGCTCTCAGAGCACTCTTCCCCAGCCTGGGCCAGAGGGCCTTTCAGGAGACCTAGGAGGCGACTCAGTCCCTATCTCGGCCCTGGAGAGCTACACTGCAGCATCTGGGAACATTATTGCCTCCAAGTCACAATGTAGAGGAGACCCTTCACCTCTCTCAGCATCGCCAGGGTCTCATCGGAAGGAAGGCTATGCCCAAGAACTTGATGTGAGAACCCTGAGGGGAGAAATGCAGGTTTCCGTGGATTCACCTGGGGCTGTCTGACTCCTGGCTTCTAATCAGCACAAGCCCAAATGGTGGGGGAAAGCTGAAATTAGCAAACGGGCAGCAAGCTGTTTAGATGCATAGCAGAGACTCTAATAAACACTGTCTTTTCCCCTGTAAGCATGCCGATGAAATCGGGCCCAGCTCAGCAATGAGAGGTCAGTGCAAACAGCCTCCCTTTGCCCACTCGACAGAACATAAGGAGACCCTGTCCAGGCCCCTGCAGGACAGCGCCCCCACTGACACTCCTGCATTGTGAGCCTTCCCCCTTGGGGTCTCTTTCCGTCCAATCCCCCAGCTCCCTGAACTCAAGAGGAAACCTTCATCCTCCACCCCTCACCAGAGGATGTGACAAAGAGCTCAATAATAATTAACTCAGCCAAGGGAGGCAGGTGTCGCAATCCCAGACATGCAGGCAGTGGACCTCACCCTGAGTGGCTGGGACCCTGTCAGTCTCCCTTCCTCCCTTGCCGAGACCAAGAGCCCAGGCACTTGGTGTCTCAGACTGCACAAGCTGGGGCAGATCCTAGCAGTTTGGCTTCACAGAAGTAAAGCGTCACCTGCTCTGCAAAGAGGGGGACACACTCCCCATTCAAGTTCAGGAAGCTGCTTGTGCAGACCTGCAAGCATGGCATCACCCTTCAGGGTCACCGATCACTTGATCACTTCCAAGTCCAAGTCCAGTCCCCCAAGAAGTGCAGGTGCCAGCACGAGCTTTGGGGGTGTCAAGGCCCACAGTGTTCGGAGATGACTACCCTATGCTAGAGCCCACGGCTCTTCAAGGGTCCAGCCAGGGCTAATGGAGAGCAGGGGACATGGCCTGAGTATCCCAGCTCCTCACCTCTCCCTCCCTGCCAGCCACCTTCCTGCTCCAAGCGCTCACCTCCACGGATCTTGGGCTCGTCGGACCTCATGTGCAGGAGCGGCTGGTGAAGTCATCCTTGACTTGCGTGTTTCTTGCATCCACATCAGTCTCCCAGCAAATTCTACTTCAACCCTCCTGGATGAGCCTATCTTCCCTTGACTCCTGCAACAGCCTCTCACTGGTCTTCAGCCAAAGCCAAACACAACAGACCACTTACTTCCCTGCCTAGAACTCTGTGTGCCCGTGCATACGTGTGCACACACAGAAACATACCCAGAGCCCTGGCCATGAGTCCGTGAGACCCTCATTACCTCTCTACCTCTGCTCTCCCTGCCTCTGGGGCCCTAGCCACAGGCTTCCTGCTGTGCTTCCACACTGCCAGGCCTGCTTCTGTTTTCAGCTTCTGTCCTGCAGCTGTTCCTGTTGCTGGTGACGCTCATCCCCTGCACAGCTTCAAAGCGTCACTGTGTGTTTTAAGTCGGTTCAAATCCTCACTGCTCACTGAGGCCCACTCTGACTGCCCCATGTAAAATTACCAACAACTTCCCTGCCAGGCATGAATCTGTTCCCCACCCTTCGCACTCCCAACCCCACCTACCATGTTACTGGTGGGATTTTAATTTTTTAATGGCGTATTTTTAACAACACTTACCACCTTCAACCCAATTACGTAGTTTATCTACTTGTCATGTTTACTTTCTGTCCTTCAACAAAAAGGCAAGGTTCAAGAAAGCAAGGATGACTGTCTGTTTTGTTCACTGTGGTTTGCCAATTGTCTGGCACATGCTAGGTGTTTGACACTTGTGAAATGAATGGATCCACACTGAAGTATCAATGACTGATAAAGTTTAGTGAGTCCCTCATGCCGTTTTTGCATAGTTGCATCTCCACAGAGGCACAGAACAAGTTCCTAACACTGGGAATTTACGCACTGGCCAGCTACAGTGGGGTCTTTTCTCCAGGCACCTAACCCACATTACAGAAGTGTCACCATGTGAGCAAGATAGCTTCCTTTGCCTGTCACCCCTGGCAGTGTCTCTGATGGGCCTCAAGGGTAGAATTAGAAGCTGTTGCCTCCATTACCCACCTGTTGGGCTCAAGCCATGTAAGCTGCCAGGTGATCAGCTGAGATCTGATCAGTGAGCAATCAAGGAACAGGAATAAAAAGAAGGAGGAAGGAGGAAGGAAAGGCGGACAGATTGGGAGAGGAGAAGGGTGCCTGCTCCTGCTGTGATGCTCAGGCGTGAAGGAAGGGGCGCCAGTGACTAAGGCTCAGCACCATCTGCACACGATGAGTCACGGCTGAGTCCTCGCCTGTGGGACAGGGTGGGCTCCAGCAACAGCCTTGGCAATGTCCATGTGACTAAGGCTGGCGTGGCCCTGCACTCTGAGTGTCCAGACAGCGGGCACCTCTTTTGTGAGCTCCCCCAGGAAGCAGAGAAAAAGCTCGGCCTGGAAAGTTGAGAGACAGATGAGAGCCAGTGGCCTACAAGAGGTGTCCTATAGCAGGCAGAGGGGAGCCTGAGGCCACTGCCATGCCGGTGACTTCACTCCACACCATACCTCTCCCTCACCCTCACCCTCACCCTCACCTGCCCAACCTGAATGTCTGCCTAGCGGACACCCATGCCCATGCTTGGGCCTGAGGTCTTGCAGACCCTGGGCAGTCAGCTGATAATAACTGCAGCTGACGGCGGTGGAGCACCCTCCACGTGCCAGGCACTATTCTAGGTCCTTTCTGTGTGTTAATCCCTTTCATGCCCACCATGTCCAAAAGAGGGTTGACACTGGGTGTCCTTGCTTTGCAGACGACAAAAATGAGGCGCATGAACTGATGCTCAGAGCTCCAGCACTCATGTTCTTAACGGCCGCCAGGACCTGGAGATGCTCCCCATCTCCTGAGCTCCCCACCTCCACCCTCACTAGTCCCCAATGGCCAGTGAAATTCCAAGAGATTCAGGATTTCACACCTCCCAAACGGTGCCCAGACATCACATCTCAAAATCTGCTGGTGCCCTTGTTCCAACCTTTAGAGCACTCGTTCTGGCCGTGTCTCCTGGGGTGGCGCTAGTGCTGTAGAAACATCTAGACCAGACACCACCAGGTCCCCCCCAGGGCCACCTCTTCTTGTGAGGGCCCAGACACAGCAGGTGCTGCCTCAGTGCTTCCTCTCAGAGCCTCTGGCGGCATGGTTTCCTTCTCACACTGACAGGGAGCTGCTCTGGACAGCAGGAGCACAAGGAGGGTGGAGAGACAGTGTGGGACAGGGAGTATGGGACAGGGAGCCATGACGAAGTGGGACAGATTAAGCACAGCGCCTGATGAGAGGTTGACACAACTTCCCTCACCAAAGCACAGGGATCCCCTGCTAGAGGTCAGGCTCCTGGCACCTCAGCACCTCCGCTCCACCTGCTGTGTCCCTCACAGTGCACCCCAGATGGCCCACCCTCCTAAGAGGCACAGCTCAGTGTCATCCGCAGCTTGGCAGAGCCACATTCTGACCAGGACCGCTCCAGGGTCGACCCAGAGCTGGCTGGCTCTCTGAAAAGAGGGAGGAATATCTGGAAGCTCCTGCCTCCTCCACCCTTCCAGGTTCCCAGCCTTCCTGCAGCAGACAGGCCAGCCCATTGCCTGCCACTCCTCCACCCCCCAACCCCTCTACTTCTACTCTGCTCAGCCCTTGGCCTCTGGGAATCGGGTTCTCAGGACCTGAGTCCAGATTTGATGAACTTCAGCCAAGGATTTTCTATGTGTAGCCCCTGGGCAGTCAGCACATCCAGGGAGGGGTGCCAAAGCGTGCTCGAGGGTGAGGTGGGGCGCTCGCATCCTGAGATCTGCTCCCTGTGCTATCAGAGGGCTGCCCCCAGGACTTTAAAATCCTAAGTATATCCACGAAAGGGCCAATAGGGAGACAAACTACAAGTCCTAGTGTTCACACTGGAGTCTGAGGGCTGATATGAAAAAATAAGCTTCTTGCAGTTTGTTGGGAGGCAGCACAGGTGCAGCTGGCTGCCTGTCTGGAAGCTGCAGCACTGAAGAGCTTTTAGTCAGCGCCTCCCACAGTGCTGGGATCTGTGCATGTGGGACTGGACCTGGCTCTACCTCTGCTTCTCAGCAGAAGCAAAACCTTGGAAAGGCTTGGAGCTCTGCAGGTAGCTCAAGGGTAGAACACATACTTAGCATGCACTAGGCACTGTGTCCCATCCCAGCATCAAAAAAACCCAAACCCCAAAACTCCTTGGAGACACAGCTCTGCAGGCTTGACTTTCAGCATTTGCAAATAAAGGAGTTGGATCCTTCTGGTTCTCACCCATACTGCCCCTCAGGGTCACTTCAAGAACTGAAAATCTCATAGGCCAAGGCCAGGCCAGACATCATCCAGAAATCTCGATGGCTTGCAGATGTTTTAACAAATCCTTGAGGAAGGCAGGGTCTGAGGCACAGCCAGGTTCTAAGATGCTCTGCTCTCAGCGGTGGTGCCTTAGGACAGTAGTTAAAAGCCTAGATTCACAGTGAGAGGGATGAGGGCTCAGCTGCAGTTCTACACTCACCAGCGGGGTGGCTTTGGAGCCCTTATCAACCTCCAGAAGCCCCATTCCT